TTTCCTATTCATGAACGTTTGCCGGCAGTAGTTCATTTAGCAATTCATTTGGAAAATGGACAAAGAGTTTATTTTTATAATAATGAAAATCTCCAAGATCGCGTCAACAATCCTTCACCAACGACACTTACAGCGTTCTTTGATCTTTGCAAAAGAGACAATTTTGCAAAAACCCTTTTATATCACGAAGTACCCCAGTATTACGTATGGGGAAGAAATTCTTTTTCTAGAAGAAGACGTGGGCAAGATGTTGAAGGATATCCCGGTGTAAAAAAAGACACAACTTTAGGCCGTGTCTACAACATTCATCCAACACAAACTGAATGTTATTATTTAAGAATGATACTGCAACATGTTCGCGGTCCAATGTCGTTTGAACATCTAAGGACCGTTAATGGTGTTATTTTCCAAAGTTATCAAGGCGCTTGCAAGGAATTAGGTTTACTGGAGGGAGATGAACATTGGCAAAATACCATGTCAGATGCTGTCATGTCTGAGCCAGCCACAAAATTAAGAGAATTATTTACCATCATTCTCTTATTTTGCCAGCCATCTGACCCCTTAGAGTTATGGAATAAATTTCGAAATGAGTTATGTGAAGATATATTAAACAGAATGCGTAATGAGAATCAGGATATGACATTAGCATATAGTGATGATATATACAATGATGGACTTATCATAATTGAAGATAAGATTCATGAGATTTGCGATAAATCATTAACTGATTTTGGGCTTCCTGCATCAAAAAGGAATAATTCACATAATAATTTGGATCCGTTAGAAGTAGCGTTGCGAAAGCCGTATGATGTAAATGAATTAAATGAGTATATTACTGAAAATGAACCAAAATTAGTTAATACCCAGGTGACGGCGTACAATCGTGTTATGCACAGTGTTCTTTTTAATGAAGGAAAAATTTTTTTTTTGGATGCTTCAGGTGGAACTGGCAAGACTTTCATTACTAATCTGATATTAGCAAAAGTAAGGTCTCAGGGAAAACTAGCTTTAGCAGTAGCGTCGTCAGGGATCGCTGCAACTTTATTAGCAGGTGGACGCACAGCTCATTCCACTTTTAAACTGCCTCTAACTGTTTCTTTACAGAAAGATAGCGTGTGCTCTATTCGCAAAAATGGCCCTTTGGGAAAAGTTTTGCAAGACGTCACTTTAATAATCTGGGACGAATGTACCATGATCCATAGAGCTCATGTAGAGGCTCTAGATAGGACTCTTAGAGATATTAGAAGCTGTGATAAAATCATGGGTGGGATTACTGTTATGTTTGCTGGGGATTTTCGTCAAACTTTACCGGTAATAGTAAGGGGAACTAGAGCAGACATTGTAAAGTCTTGCCTTAAAAGTTCCCCATTATGGAAGTTTGTTCATACCTTAAAACTATCTACGAATATGAGAGCACATTTGGGGGGAGGTAGTACAAATTTTCCTTCAAAGCTACTTTTAATAGGAGACGGGAAAGTACCTCATTTTGAAAATAAAATTGAAATTTATCGCGATTTAGGAGAAAGAGTGACTAGCATTGAGGATTTAATATCGAAAGTTTACCCTGATATCGTCGAAATAGAAAACAAAGATTATCCATGGATGTGTCAAAGGGCAATATTGGCGGCGAGAAACAGTAGCGTTGACGAAATTAACGAGCTAATTTTAACTAAACTTCCAGGAGATAAAGTTACCTACACATCTATTGATAATGTAATGGATCAAGAAGATGCGGTCCATTACCCACAGGAGTTTCTTAATTCTTTAAACCCGAGTGGCCTTCCCCCACATTCACTCAAGTTAAAAATAGGTGCCCCAATAATTTTACTTAGAAATCTTAAACCACCAAATTTATGTAACGGGACCCGACTTCAAGTCAAATTTCTTCGCAACAATGTGATCGTTGCAATAGTTTTGACTGGTCCAGCAGTAGGTCAAACAGTGCTTATACCTCGCATCCCAATGATTCCAAATGATTTACCTTTTAATTTTAAAAGGATTCAATTTCCCGTTAAGTTATCTTTTGCCGTAACAATTAATAAATCACAGGGGCAAACATTTAAACACGTAGGAATCGATTTACGTCAAGACTGCTTTTCACACGGCCAACTATATGTAGCGTTGTCAAGATCGGGTTGCGGAGAAAATCAGTATGTTCTTCTGCCACAAGAAAATAAAACTAAAAATGTCATTTACGCAGAAGTACTTTAAAATATATTCTTTTAAAAACTTCTTAATCGCGATCATAAAAGCAGTTTTTTTTTTTTTTTTTTTTTTTTTAAAAGACAACTCCCGCATTAGGAATAAATCCTGTGTCGCGGGGGACTTTACAAACATACATGAAACGGACACAAAGAACACCCAGACTCAGAACAACAATTTGTGGATCACACAAAGTGTCGTCCCATGTGGGGTTTGAACCCACAACACTCGGCGTAGTAGGAAGCGGCGTGGCGACCGCTTAAACCACTACGCCATCCGTGCAGTCAAACAAAACAAATTGACGCGGACGAAGTCGCGGGCAACAGCTAGTAAAAGGATATTTATGTTAAAGAAACGTGCCAACTTTGTTCTTGAGTGAGTTAATCTCAAGATATAATTAAGACATAACTACAGTGACCTTGTTACATTGTAATATGTAAGTAATCATTGGCTGGCTCGCCTTACACCATGAATGTTAGAAATTAAAAACTATCATCATCTTCAAGATCGACAGACATGGCCGCACGAAATCTGGTCTAGTGAGGATATTGGAGTGTGAACTGTTGAGGATACATCATCACATCAACAGCCTTTACTAGTCCACTGCAGAACATAGGCCTCTCATTAGAAAGGAGGTTTTGGCCTACTATACCACGCTGGCCAGACGGGTTGGTATAGGGTTTGTTTCAAGTTTTCCTTCTCTTTGCAGTGTTGTTGTCCTGCGTAGTTTGCTTCCTTAGTCGCCTCTTACGACACCCACGGGATGAATAGGGGTGGTGTATTCTTAATCCGTCTCAGTATGTTGTACACCGTGTGGTTTTAGGCGGTAGCAGTCTGGCATACGGCCTCACCTTTGGCCCCGGTAAAGTTTTACCCATTAGAGTTTCCAAAGAAAGAAAATATAAAGGATAGTTGGAAATGGAGAAATGTATTTTGTATGCTTTTGCAGCTTGAAAAAATTGCAACAGAAATAGACAATTCTGCATGGTTTTATCAATCCCGCCAAAACATTAATTTACGTGACTCGTTCTGTGTTGAAATCACATTGTAATCACATTATAATCAACATCCAAATAAACAAATTATTGTATTTGGAACCTGTTTGTTTATAAGTGTCAACGCCTCCTTATCACTTTCTCACCTTCTTGTTTGTCAACAAAGTGATATGGCAGCACTCACACTCTTTATTATCTATGTATAATATGTATGTATTTAAAAAAAAAGTATATAAGTATTCTATCAGTCTATCTAGCTTTCATAGTACAAGCTGTGCTCAGTTTAAAGCGGTGCTTTTCACTGAATGGGTACGGTTACCGAAAAGCTAACCCCCCATCCTTTCCTAATTCTGTGGTGTCGCATGCACTTGTGAGGTGTCCATGGGTGGTGGTATCCACCATCAGGTGACCCGTCTTCTCCTTTCTGCCCTCTACCGTAAAAATCTTAAAATTAACATTCAAAATGCCCGGTCATTCCCTTATCACGGGCATCTTTTTTGGTTGGCTTATCTTTAATGAGTTTATTGTTATGGCGGCATAACGGGACACAAACTCCTAAGTCTTAGGAACTCCTAGCTTGGGAGTTATTATTATTCTATGGGTATGTGATAGAATATAATAATAACCACAAAATAGTTTAGTAGTAATTTCGCCACAGTTAAAAAATCATTTTTCATTATGGTCTGGGTAACTACGCCACTTTTTCTTTAATTTGACTAATCCCTCCCACACGCCTACCACTGTAACTCCTGTATACCAGGATCAACAGCAGTGACCCACGTACACACCGAGTTATAACACCCGGGCAGGCCCGAGCAAAATTTAAACTGTCTTGGAACCCGGCAGATTAGGCCACTTAGAGATTTTTTCAATGGTTTGACTATTACCTTTAGACGTTATGAGAAATGCATTAAAACATTAAGTATGAATAAATACTCTGAAATAAACAAAACGGGTGGGCCAACGGCAACTTATAACATTAAACCATCATTTTTAACACCTGAAAGTTCAATATCCCTGTTCTACAGGCGTCTTCAATAACAGGATGGATTTACGGGCACTCAACCTAGGCCTCTGAGCTACTGCAGTCTTAATTCTTTTTCCTCATCCAAATCTAACAGTATCCCTTACCGTAGCACCCTCGCCTTATTCTATTTTATTACCCCCAATTAACATTCTGCCTTTGTCCCAAAAAACGCATACGGCCGGCTAAAACCTTATGTGCGTTGGCATTACCACAAATAAATTGAGGAAATTGATGACGACGAGACTGATGATGGTAGTGGTTGTGATGATGATGTGTAATGAACTGCATTTTATTATTCAACAGTCAATATACCATTGGTGATCGAAATGTTGCCGTCATCGATAACCGCTTCCATACCGCCATATTCAGTTTTCCTTCTCTTTGCAGTGCCATTAAGTTGCCCTGGTTAGTTTGCTCTCTTAGTCACACTATATACATTTAATCACACACACAAGACAAATTTAAATTCAGACACTTATTCTCTTAAAGTGTTAGCTCCAATTTTGTACAGTTGAAATACAACTTTTTTCGAGGAATTGAAGCCCTGGGTTATCCAGAACGCAAGTATTTTACTTAGTTTGGAAACAAATCTTCCACTATTGTGTCATAACTACATTGCACATGTGTAATAAGGATTGTAATAAGGAGAAATAAACATTTATTATTATTCTGTTTTACTTCCAGATGTTTTACTCTCGATTTTCTTTACTTACAATACAAGACTCAACAGTACGATAGAAGTAATCTGACTAACTCTCCATTTTTGTTGTCCACAGGGAGTCAAGCCGGGACTTGGTGGCTGTTAGAGTGCCCATCAATGGCATGACATGCCAGTCTTGTGTGAAAAATATCGAAGGTTCTGTGAGAGAGTTGCCTGGTATCCATCAGACTAAGGTAAGACTTTGGTTTTTAACCGATAATGACAGATTATAAGTTATTCTCAAATCATTAAAAAATTACAAATTAGATTATTCGATGTTCCTGTCGGTCTAGTGGTTAGTGAATCTGACTGCTAAGCCGCAGGTCGCGGGTTCGAATCCCACCCAGGACAAATATAGGGTGATGAGCACGATTATTTGTTCTGTGTCTGGATGTAATTTATCTAAAATAGGTATGTATTTATAAATATATAAGTATGTTTATCAGCAGTCTGGTTACCATGGTACAGGCTCTGTCTAGTTTGGAAGCAGACTGCCTGGATTATTTGATAAAATATTGATTATTTCTCATGGACAGGTGGAGCTCTCAGAAAACGCCGGCTACTTCAGATATGATCCGCACGTCATCTCAGTGGAGGCCATCCGGTCTCATATATACGACATGGGATTCGAAGTGCCGATTGACAACTCTGACCACGAGACCAGGTAAGTCTCAGCTACTTTTACTGATGTAAGTAAAGCTTTTGACACACTAGACCACGAAATATTTTTACCTAAATTGAAAGAAAAAGACAGTCAAGGAGAAGGAAAACTTGATAAAGCCCCTATAACAAACTCGTCTGGCCAGCGTGGTATAGTAGGCCAAAACCTATTTTCTAAGTAGTGGCCTATGGCCAGCAATCCAGAAATTCAAAATCACATCTATTAGGGACAGTCATCATCATCATCAACAGCCTTTAATAGTCCACTGCTGGTCATAGGCCTCCTCTTAGAAACACGCTAGCGAGACGGGTGGGTGCAGGGTTTGTATCAAGTTTTCCTTCTCTTTGTAGTGCTGTTGTCCTGCGTAGTTTGCTCCCTTAGTCGGCTCTTACGACACCCATGGTATGAATAGAGGTGGTGACACTCCATATTCTTAATCCGTCACCACATACCACATTAGATACAGTTAATAGTAATGAAGTTTAATTTTAAAACTTGTGGTAGGATCTAGTTTTTGCATAAAACGTGCTATAGAATAATAATGACGCGTAGTTTTGTTATTCAAGGCATTGATAGTTCTCAGTGCTCTTATTATTCAAAGATATGCAGATAAGTGTTAGACCAAAGTCCTGTTTACACCTGCTGAAAGTGTGGTGTGATGATCTACCAGCTTTTGCCCGCGGTTCCGCTCGCGTAAATATCGGTTATTAGTGAAATGTAGCCTTTCTTTAAGAATCAAAGTATCTCCATCACAAGTTTCATCTAAATCGGTGCAGCGGTTATTGATTCCCCATACATCCACCCCCGTTTTCACTTTCCTTCAAAGATGATTTCTAAAATAAAAACTACCCTATGTCCGTTCCCTAAACTCGAACTACATACCAAATTTCATCTAAATCGGTTCAGCGGTTTAAGCGTCAAGAGGTTACAGACAGACAGACAGACACTTTTTCGCATTTATAATATTAGTATTGATGATGGTGATTCAGTTAATCTTTTAGTTGAAGTAGTTGAGAGGACAATATATACCTAGTAGAGCTAGTTGTTAATGATCCTGACTACTAACCCAGAGGTTGTGGGTTCAATCCCCACTCAGGATGAATAATTGAGTTATGAGCAATGTCTTGGTCTTGGACCTTACTTAATAGAGACTTCGGCACAAATAGGCCAGCTCAACCGGTGTAACTTCAGAGATAACCGGTGTTAAGTAACTCTGCATTTCACGGAGTGAGTGAGGTTGAGGCCAAAACCTCCTTTCTAAGGAGAGGACTATGTCTAGCATTGGACTATTAAAGGCTGTTGATGATGATGAGTGAACGCTCAAACCCCTGATTCTGAGGGGAGAAACTGTCACTATAGTCACTACTATCAAGTGACCCACCTGGTCCCCAATAATGTATCAATGGACTATATAGACTAGATGTACTGTCGTCGAAATAGTTTTGCACTTTTCGTATTCTACCAACTATGTAAGAGCAATGGATGACTTGATTTGACTGAAGTGCTATTGATACAAATGTCGTCAATGTCTGTTTTTATAATAGTTTGGTAAACGGTACATTTTAAATTTGAAAGGAAATGATATATTTCATTTTCCAGATGTGGCAGTGTTGTTGATATCACCATTGATAAATTTACGAGTATGTTAGTAGAATACCGATATTTTAACCGATGTCAATGGCATCTCAATAGCGTGTCAATAGAATTGCTTTACGATAACATAAAATAGCCCACTTGAGGCCTTGGGCCTCAATTCTGCTATTTTATGCCAAGCCACTGTCACATCACTGACACGCTATTGAGATGTCATCGAGTGGCCATTGCCATCGGTATAAATATCGGTAGTCTACACTAACTCAGTGTCTTTACAGTGGCGATGGAATGGCAGTGGCTCATCAGTGGTGATATCAAAAAGATTGCCATATTTGGAAAAATAAATAAATCATTTTCTTAACAAAACGTAATAAATTTTCATAGTATAAGGCCCTGATCGATTGCTCCCTACACCTTAAAAAACATATATTTTTCCTTTTTTTTTCGAAATGTGATTGTTTTGTTTAGAAGCATTAAAATAATATTATCATAAATAACATTACAATAAAAAAATTGGTTGCCTGTAAAGTCGGTATACGGGCGAAAGTTTTACGTGACAACGACTATGTCTGTCTCTCTCGCTCTTAGGCGGGCTAACCATGCCCGATTGGAAGGGACGCGTGCCTCTCACTCGCTCTCATTGTGAGCGCATAACGTGAGCGGAGCGTAACGCAGTTTCTTTAAGTGTCACCCGGCAAACCAATTTATAAGACGTTGTCACGTCAAAAATAGCTTCTTCTACAAAGTCTCGGGATTAATATGTGTAGTTATGAACACATCTTTATATCTTACGGTCTAAGATGTCATTTATCTGTATTTGTTCTATCATAACAGTGTAATTAGTCTTGTTGGATACTTGTCTAAACACACAACCATGGCGCTGCTTTTAAACGTGTAAGTATGTTTGTATTGTTTATCTACAAACAAATTATTGATTAATACCTATTTATGTATGTAGTTCAACTCGAGATTTATTGTTCTGTTCACTTTTTAACGGACCTGTTGGGCAAGTGGTTCGTGACCCTGACTGCTAAGCCCAAGGTCGTGGGTTCGAATCCCACCCATGACAAATATTATGTGATGAACACGAGCATTTGTTCTGTGTCTGGGTGTAAGTTAGTTATAATATATATGTATTTAGAAATATGTGTGTATGTATATCAAGAGTCCGGTACTAGGTATGGCATAAAATCACAAACATTTATGACAAATCATATGATTTATAAATTATATAATCACACCAGCGATTAATGTACAAAACCACTGTGACTTATTATTATTACGCTAGCGCCAGACTCGCGAAAGGTCTAAATATGGAATAAAAGTTAATCTTTGATATAAAAGAATTCAATTGATTTTGATGGCATTTATCTATGACCAAATCACAATCACAGGAGTAATCGCAATAATTTAATAAAGATATAAAAGTAGCAATCATTGCCATGTCTGGGCGGTAATCATAGCACAGGCTCTATCTAGTTATGGATCAGACTGCGGTGTGTGAGACATGTGAGGTTATTAATCTGTCTTGGAACTGCGTCATACACTCCGTTCGAGCCCATTTGAGCCGAACATGGCCCAGGCTCGACCGGAGACCACGGTCCCTCCCCCTTATTCTGGGGGGAGGCACTGAAAGGCCAACAACGGGCTTGTGACTTTGATTTGCAGGTGTCCGTGGGTGGTACTCACTTACCATCGGGTGATTCGATTGCTCGTTTGGACCTATAAAAAAAACCTATATAATGGCCAAACTACGCAGAGCCTATACTATGGTAACCAGACTGCTGACAAACATACTTACATATTACTAAATTCATACACATTAAATGTAAATAGGTATATCTTCATCATCATCAACAGCTTTTAAAAGTCCACTGCTGGACATAGGCCTCTCCTTAAAAATAAGGTTTGGGCCTACTATATCACGTTAGGGTTGGTCTTGTAGGGTTTACATTGCTGTTGTCCTGCGTAGTATGTTCCCTTAGTCAGCTCTTACAACACCCACGGCATAAATAGGAGTGGTGACCTTAGACGGACATATAGGTACAACTGGTACTGTCCGTGTGGTGACGGAATAAGAATACGTAATGTCACCACCCCTATTCATCCCGTGGGTGTCGTAAGAGCCGACTAAGGGACCAAACTACGCAGGACAACAGCACTGCAAAGAGAAGGAAAACTTGAAACAAACCCTATACCAACCCATCTGGCCAGCGTGGTATAGTAGGCCAAAACCTCCTTTCTAAGGAGAGGCCTATGTCCAGCAGTGAACTGTTATAGGCTGTTGATGATGATATAGGTACAAATAGGTATATGTATGTCGTGTATGTATTTCGCCCCCAAGATGATGTAATAAGAAATTTGTTCCAGACAACTATTGCCAAAGGAAATACCAACAGACCTGCTGATCGACATGTCGGGGACGGGCGAGATGGAGGAAGTGGAGGTCCTCCTCTCTGTTATAGGAATGACCTGCCAGTCTTGTGTCAACACCATTGAAGGTACAAATTACGTTACTTTAGTTTATACCTTCTTATTTAATAAAAATATTGGCATTCTCGTAATAACATTTGTTCAATATGCAATTTTCGATCGACTCAAATGCAGTAAAAGGTATTCTCGTGGTAATGTATTAATAACCAATGTTGACTTTAATATAATTGTATCGTATTGTGGTCGAAAGTTGAATCGGTATTCTGCTAGTCTTTAGAACTGAATTTTGAACGAATTTTTATTAACGAGAATTGACTTTCAGATGGAGTAATAGGAGAAATGCTTCTAAAGCCATACCTAGTTTTTTTTTTATTTATTTATCAAATCAAATGCAAAAACTGATATAATTCGTAAAATAGCATTCTTAAACCCCTAAGGTTTGTAGTGAATGCTACAAGTGGTCTACAGTCATATTATACTTACAAAATAACGACACCTACACAGGTATTAAGAGTAAAACAATATAATAAACAGTAAGGCTGGTAACAACATTAATAGGTTTATCACTGGCTTTCCATGTTCTGGAGAGAGACTTCCGTTTATATAACCGTGTATAATAATTTCCTAATGATCTGTTGAACAGTTAAATTATCAAAACGCCACAAACAAACTCAGTTTCGCATTTTAAGAAACAAAAACACAATCCTTTTTTTTTCTCGATGTTGACGGGCTATTAATATGTGAAATAATGTCGAATCGATAATCAAAAAACAACATTTTTAAATCTAAAGATTCTAGTTTTTGAATCTTTAGTCCAAAAATTCTAGAATTGATTGTTAAAACCTTGGTCAAGTTTTAATACAATCCGAAATGACACGAAAGGAATTTCTTTTTTTTAAGTTAACGACCATATAAACCATATAAAAAGGCGTGAGGGGTCTATGGACCCCTTGTCGGAACTTTCCTTAATTTTTTTGGTAGACGTTTGCTATACAGTCATTATAATTTATATTATAAAAGATCAAATTAATACAGTTTTATTGAAAATATAAATAAATATGCTAAAAAATATTTATCATGTATAAAATAAATAATGATAAATTAAGCACTGAATGATCTGTGATAATTAAGTTAATAACATATAAAAATTGAGGAACTGTATACATTTTATTTAAGTAATAATCCTAATATTCAAAAAATAAATAAAAGTTAAAATAGATTTGTGTTGTGTCTGAAGAGAATAGAGTCGTCGCGTCTTTCGATGCGCGGGATTGCTGTGTGCGGCGGTGTATATAGGTATACTTTTAATTTGTAGGAACGGTAAAAGAAATGAATGGTGTAAGTGAAGTGCACGTGAGCCTTTCGGAGGCGACGGCGCGTGTGCGGTGTCGTCGCGGAGTCGTCACGCCCTCACAGCTCAGTGACGCCATCTACGAGTTGGGCTTCGACCCCACTGTTCTCACTGTGGACGGCGAGAGGTGGCACGGTAAGAGCTCACTATATCATCATCATCATCTTCATCATCAATAATAATCATCTTTAATAGTCCACTGCTGGACATAGGCCTATCCTTAGAAAGGAGGTTTTGGCCTACTATACCACGCTTTCCAGATGGGTGGGTATAGGGTTTGTGTCAAGTTTTCCTTCTTTTTGCAGTGCTGTTGTCCTGCGTTGTTTTGCGCCCTTAGTCGGCTCTTACGACATCCACGGGATGAATTCTGGTAGTGACATTCCGTATTCTTTATCCGTCACTCACTATATCAAAGAACCAAAATGTGTCAACGCCGAATCGCGGTTTCTTAGACGTAGCAGAGCCATGATCCGGTACAAATTGGCCAGGCTCGACCGGAGTGATACCATGGCCTCACAGTAATTCGGTGTTAAGCTAATCTTTCTTGACTTTTCACCAAGTGAGAATAACCGGAACTCGAAGCCCTACCCCTAAGACTATAGAGACTCATGATTATAGATCGGAAGCTTGGGTGCTATTACTATCAAAAGTATGGATATGACAAAGAATGAACGGGAATCGGTCCTTCGAAAAAAAATTCAAAAATTTCCAAGAATTGGAATTCTGAATGATAATGATTCTTGTATTTCTATACAACGTTTTTTTCTATATAATACATACTTCACGCAATTAATATATCAGGATTTTTAAATAAGTAAACAATCATTTAATAGGTACTTAAAGTTTATTTTTATAAAAAAAAATTGTATATCAGGTCAACAATCTAAAACAATATAATGTTGCTGGGAAAACCCAATATCGGGATTTGACTTTTGTCAAGGTATTGTGTAGTAGGTAAACTTTCTATGAAAAACTTTGGGATATCTAAAATTACTTAAAGTAGCGGGACGCTATGATTTGATGCACTATTTTTGTTACATTAAAGTAAGTAAGTAAGATGTAAATCAAATATTAATCTATTGTTCATAGAAAGATCTATCTAATGAGGTACTTTATTAATAAAATAAAATAAATTTCATTTTTAGAATGTTTTAATTATTTTCTGTTGCAATGTTAAGGATGAACCTATCTACGAGTATTCATTTGTAAGTCTCTACTATTTAAATCTAAACCCTTAATAAAAATAAATAACCGTATTCCTTAAACAAATTGCACACATTTTAAATAATATCAAAAAAATTTAAGCTTTACCATAATTACCGGAATCCCGGGAATATCGTCATATCCATACTAGTGATATCGTCTCAAATAGCACCCAAATTCCGATCACTAGTTATTATAGTCATGAGTTGTACATGTCCTATGGCAACGGAAATCACTTACCATCAGGTAATCCGTCTGTTCGTTGGCCTTACTGTGCCAAAAAAAATAGTGAGCTTTCCTGAACACTTGGTCTCAACCCAATTATATCAATATCACTTTCGGAAACTTAGAATATCGTGAACTTTCTGACCTGCAGTTATACGCGAACCCCTACGATGACACAAATTGTACTGGCCAATGAAATGAATTAAAAATAAATTATGATCAAAATTCGATCACCAAGCGATCTTTACGTAAAATGATATTTGAATTAACTAATAAAGGAAGAAGCAATCATTTGATTGTGATAACCCTAGCCATGTTACGTCATCATAAAATGAGTGAGCCTGGTAACTTCGTTTAAATTGTGTTATTTATTGCAGAAAATTCCCCAAACAGTAAGAGTGAGGAGGGATCAGGGGACGGTGCAAAACCACCTTCTCCAGTCAAGAGTAGAACACAAGCAAATGTGAGTATCACTACATCACTTACAAACGTCCAATTGTTCTATAATTGTGTCTTTTTTATAGGGTTGTGACGTAATAATTAACTTTAAAAGAGTATCATCGACGTTAATATGCTTACTTAGGGGGTTCCACTTTTACCCTTAGGCATGGTATTTTCTGTTCAAATATGAATTGGGACCAAATAGGAAGTAAACCTTAATAAAACAGAATCTTCTAAATCGGTTCGTAAAATAACTGTGTTTTGAGGTAACAAACATAAAAATAAATTCGACTGCACGGATGGCGTAGTGGTTTAAGCGGTCGCCACGCCGCTTCCTACTACGCCGAGTGTTGTGGGTTCAAACCCCACATGGGACGACACTTTGTGTGATCCACAAATTGTTGTTCTGAGTCTGGGTGTTCTTTGTGTCCGTTTCATGTATGTTTGTAAAGTCCCCCGCGACACAGGATTTATTCCTAATGTGGGAGTTGTCTTTTTAAAAAAAAAAAACAAAAAAAAAATAATGAGGCAACCTCAATTTTTTTAAAGTCGGTTGAAAATACGAAACCCTACACTAAATGTGGTTACACATTTGACCGTTTTTTTTTTGGTGTTTATTTACTGTGTAACGCCTCGAGGCCACGACCGATATAAATTCTTTCACAATACTATAGCTGATATCAAAATTATTGTAGATCTGTTTTATTGATAATATCGATATCGTAAAATTGCCCAATGTGACGGCGGAATTGTAAATTTTATATCTCTTATAAAGTGTTTTACAATCTTTACAAAATACTAGCTGAACCGCGCAACTCTGTCGCTTCTCTCAGGAACAAATTTTTCCCGTTTTCGCAAAATAATTCATTGATAAATTGGCACCTATTGGTCGTAACGCATGATGGTATATAGTTTATATCCTTACTTGTTTAAAGGGCTATCCAATACTAAAAAAAAATCAGTTCGAACCAGTAGTTACTGAGATTACCCCGAACATATAAACTCACAAACTTTACCTCTTTATAATATTAGTATATAAGTAATACAGATGAAACTGAAGAGTAATATTTTGTTTGGTTATGTATATCTCAGAACTTTTAAACGGCAAAATTCACAATCTAAATTTTCCATCAGAAATATTTTTAACCATTTTCCTAATGAGTGTCAACCGTGTCTGCATGCTGATGACATGATGACATCGTGATGATAAATTTCCTATAACCTCCCCGAAGAATTACTGTAGCTATTAGGTTACAAAGCTCGATTTTGTAAAACTCAATTCTCCAAGAGATTCAACTGATATTATACTCTAGGTCTTAGTTAAAGGGGGTCGATTTTGTAAAACTGATATTATTTTCTAGGGTACAGCATCACCGCCACCAGAGAGCGAAATATCCAGATGCACCTTAGAAGTTCGGGGCATGACGTGTGCGTCCTGTGTAGCCGCCATTGAAAAGCATTGTGCCAAATTATACGGTAGGCTTGTGTTTGAAACAGTAACAAACAAACAGTCTTGACATCAGTGAACTTATCTGTGATTATATGCCTATATATCTTCTAGACAATTTAAACATATTTTGACTACACGGGTGGCGTAGTGGCTTAGGCGGTCACTTCGCCGCTTCCTGCTGCGCTGAGTGTTGTGGGTTCGATCCCTACATGGGACAACACTTTCTGTGATCATGTGTGTTTCATAAATCTATGTAAAGTCCCCTGCGAAATAGGAAATATTCCTAGTGCGCTAGTAATATTTTTAGGAGGAACCAAAATATTCAGCGGTAGTAAATGAATTTGCTTATGTGCATTTAAAATTGTTTTTTTTTATAAATATTTATTACAACTTCTTTGAACTGTACAAATGTCAACGTCCGCACGTCGGTTCTATCTATTTAATTCAACGTTTGCTCGTGGACAATAAAGTGGAATAAATAGAAAGCAAACCAAAATTTGTAACTGTTTTCGTGCGTGGTGTATATTCTTTCTACAACTATTTTTATTCTATATTTATTTAAATCTAATATATTCCAGGTGTTCATTCAATCCTCGTTGCCCTCCTGGCAGCGAAAGCCGAAGTGCGATACGAACCCAAAAAGATCTCAGCTCAAGATGTAGCACACTCCATCACGGAGCTAGGATTCCCATCGTCCGTTATCAGCGATTGTGATGGGAGTGGACAGAAAGAAGTTATAGTCATGGTGAGTTACTCAACGTCATAACTTATGATACTTTCACAACATTTTGACTTTTGATAAGCCTTTGACTATCGTTCACACAGTAAGGATGTTCATACGTAAAGTATAATTTTCTAGGCGTGCCTCAAGGTTCCGGTCTAGGCCCAATATTTGTGTATAGAAGAACAGTGAATAATCTCGTTTGGACATGACTACATGTGCCTTTATTATACTTAGAAGGAACAGGGCATTATTTAAAAAAAAGTGTTTATCATTTCATAAGTAAGCGTTTCAGAGTTCATAAAAGATTTTTATTTAAATTCGATTGGGACTGTTTCTTGCAAGACCTTTACTTTATTTATGTGCTATTAAGTTATAAAACAAACGAAGCATTATTATATTATTATTATTTTATTTGACTGTTACTTATGTAAACTATATATTATCAGTTGAGAAGAACTCATAGTTCATTTATTCACAAACAATAATATAATTGTGTTTGAATGTATAACAATTCGCCGTAACACAAAAATATTACGTAAACTTAAGTATTAAATCGAAAAAAAAAATATTTCGTAATTCGTATTATTTCGTAAAAATAATAATAAGTAATAACAATATAACAAATTACAAAGTAACTATTTGTTCTTCCTTTACTTTAATTTTCAGATCAAAGGAATGACGTGTGCTTCCTGCGTCAGCAAAATTGAGAAGAGTGTACTTAAACTCACAGGAGTGGTGTCCTGTACCGTCGCTCTAACAACTTGCAAGTGAGTTACATAAATTGACACTTTAGATCCCAGATAGACGCATCATTTTCATATTACTTCATTTATTTGTATTGAATTTAAATAGTTATTGGGAACCAACCTGGTTACACTACGAACATCTTTGACAATAGTTACGGGTAGTTAAAACCCTCAAAAGTCCGATAACAGTCTTCCTACAGAACCTCGTTATCGCCTAGTACTTGGGTTGTGGAGGTTTGATGGCAGTCGCTCCGTGTAAAAAATCAAAGTTCAGCCGTACCGTATCAAACTTAATGCCGACCCCAACCTAGTTTGGTAAAAGACTCGGAGGAAGATTAGAAACAAAATATTCATACCATTACCGTTCCGTTTCATAACAATAACGAATTATCATAGACAAGAGTGTAAACTAAAACTTTTGCAATAAAAATCTTCTTAATATATGCATATAATAACTAATTCAGACAATACTAAGCAGCCAGCCTCAGCCTTTAATAGTCCACTGCTGGACATATTCCACTCCTTAGATAGGAGGTTTCTGCCTACTGTACCACGCTAGCCAAATGGGTTGCTTCAGGGTTTGTTTCAAGTTTTCCTTTTCTTTGCAGTGCTGTTCTGCAGTTTCTCTCCCTTAGTCGACTCTCACGACACCCGCGGGATGAATAGGGGTAGTAGTAATTTATAACAATAAGTAAAGTTTAGTTAATCGCGTGTACCGACATGTGTGACGAAAAGGTTATAAAAATAAACGCACCAACAACTTTAGCAGAAGAGAATAATATTTCAATGAAGTATTTCTTTTTTCCAGGGGCAAAATAAAATACAATGCCGAGCAGATAGGTCCTCGAACTATTTGCGAGACTATCGATAATCTTGGGTTCGAGTCTAGCGTAGTTACACCGCACAACAGAGGACAGACCAACTATTTAGAACATAAGTGAGTATAAACGTTTTTCAAATACTTGGAGGACCACAGGGCGTTATTTTGGGTGTGCCACAGGGATCTAATGTCGTTTTTAATATAGCATTTGATTAAGGTTGATGGGTAAAGTTAAGAGATTTTAGATTAAATATAAATATCGTTATATTATATATTATGCATAGAGGTATTTTAATAGGTTGCTTGTGTTGAATTCATTAGAAGAGTACTCAATAGAATTTGCATTTTTCTTTTTCTACGTCTGTATCACAAAATATTTAAACTGTATAAGTATTTATCTGTAATTGTATAAAATTGTGTTTATTTACTCACGTATTTATAAATGTTTATCGGTAGTAGGTATGTAAATCACCATTATCTATTACAGAGAAGAAATAAGAAAATGGCGTAACGCGTTCCTAGTATCTCTAATCTTCGGCGGTCCGTGTATGGTGGCCATGGCGTACTTCATGTCGGCCATGTCCACCTCCCACAGCGCCGCCGACATGTGCTGCGTGGTGCCCGGCCTCAGCCTCGAGAACCTGCTCATGTGGGTGCTGGCCACGCCCGTACAGGTACACTTGACTCTGTACCCAGAGCTTGTATTATAGTTACCAAGCTTCTGATAAACACAGTATTACAAGCTGCAGTTCGTGGTTAGAGAATTCGCATATTCCCTTGTACTCTTAGGAGGCTACTAGTGACCTTCGCACTTGTTTATTCATTGAAGTGGAGTGTCCAGAAGGAGTGTGAACTTTCCTTTTTTTTTTATTTTAATATGATTGTCTCGACACCGATCTAGACAATAAGATCTGAAGAGTACAAGATCATATAAACTATTTAGTAACTGGAAATCCTGCATCGCGCAATCAAAGTTTTCATGTTGATTCCAGTGCCCGGTCGGATTATTGATATGATGGTGGAGCATAGAAAACCTTATTCCTTCCTTAAATAAGGTATAACTTGTTAAAATGTATGTTTTCAGTTCATCGGTGGTTGGCACTTCTACAAGCAAGCGTACAAGGCACTGAGCCACGGGACGTCTAACATGGACGTGCTCATTAGTATGACCACCACCATCAGGTAAGTCCCACAACCAACAGCAGGTGGTATTGACACACTGAGAAATGACGATAAACCGAGTTGGTCAGATTGTAATATAATAGCTAGCCTATGATTTACAATCTAGTAATTTGTTGCTCGTACCCCACTATAAACTGAAGTCGACCAGATTCACAAAAAAACGGGTGTTAAACAATTCTTTCTCAGGAGCCCAGCTCCTCCCTCTAGGTCTGGGAGGGCACTCAGAGGCCCGCAACGTACTTGTAATTCTTGGATTACACGTGTCCGTCAGCGGTGGTAGTCACTTACCATCCTGCTTGTTTACACCCTATACCATAACAAGGAACAATTAATTTAAAATTTAAAAAACCCCCAAAACAAAACCATTTAAACCATTTATTTTTGCTACACAAGAAACATAAAACATACACGGATACAATGCACATTACTAAAACACAAAATTAATTTTATAAGACAAGCAAGCATTTTAAACAAAAAAACTTTAAAAAAAGCAACCACTACATTGAGACTTTTTTAATAATCCCAAACATGGTATATATGCTGTAAATTTCTGAGGAATTGGTTATCTCGCAGACTACTTGATGCAGCAGCAAGTACCAGGTTATCATGTCGTGGCAATACAATTAAAGTAACAGTATACTAAATTTCACATCAATCGGACCTGTGGATTTTTGTGAGCTCCCTTCATTACCTAGGAAGTGAGCTGATGATCTTAAAAATTTTATAGTTTCTTAACTCAATCACTTCGGCTTTCGAACAAAAAATCCACATCGAAATTGGTCCCATTTGGGAGCTATGATGCCACAAACAGACAGACAGATACACTGGTTAAACGTATAACACCCCTCGTTTTCCGTTGGGGGTTAAAAAGACTACAACTCAACACGTTCAGTTCGTAGCTACAAGTGCAACTTGAATTGTACTTTATTGTTTCACATTAAGGTCTATATTTTTTTAAATAATTTCTAAAGTGCGTCTTCTGTACCGGTATGATTAAAGCTAACTTTTATAAAAAAATACTCGGATAATGTTATATTAAAAATGTATGTGTTCATCTGTTCAAAATTCTTTGTTGAAGAAGGGGAGGAATTAATGATCACCTCACCAAGTGATGAGCATTCCTTATTCCAGTTATGGGTACTCTCTGGCGGTGGTGATAGCAGCGATGGCGATGCAACAGACGACCAGTCCTGTGACCTTCTTCGACACACCCCCCATGCTACTTGTCTTCGTCTCACTGGGACGGTGGCTCGAGCATATTGCTAAGGTAACAATAATCAATATCAAAATCGAAACTACTAATCGAAAGACTAGCTTTTGTCTGCAACTCCGCTCGCGTGTATGCCGGTTACCTCGGTAAAAAGTAGACTACGTCCTTCCTCAACAATCAAAATATTTCCATGCTGAATTTCATAAAAATCGGTTCAGCAGTTTAGCCGTTAAAGCGTAACAGACAGACAGAGTTACTTTCGCATGTATATTTGTATTTCGGTATTCTTTACACTTGTGTATTTCGGGGACGCCCCCAACAGGGACTCGTTCGAAACTATTTTCACAATCCTAAAAAAAAACAAGTTCTCTTAAAAAATTGCTGTTTTTTTTTCTTTTTTATCGTGTCTAAGAGCAAAATAATTAATTTACAACTTAATGAAACCCTAAAAAATAACATTCCACTGCAATCCGAAGATTCGCCTGTTTTTACATTTCTGTTATTATAGATATTTAAAAATTCTACAGGGTAAAACATCAGAGGCATTATCGAAGCTGCTGTCCCTGAAACCGACAGAGGCGCTTCTGGTGACCCTGGACGAGAATGGACAGACGACCAGCGAAAAGAGCATTCCAGTGGATCTTGTCGAAAGGGGGGATATGTTGAAGGTGGGTTGGGAATGTTTTAAATTATACATAGGGTATATATTATAATAAAGATGGTGGTTTCGGTATACACATATGTTCAAATATGTTCTTTATTTTATTTCATTGATCCGCCATTTTTTAAACTATTGTTAATAAATAATGTTCAATTTCAGGTAGTTCCTGGAGCTAAAATTCCCGTAGACGGCAAAGTTGTCTACGGTCAAAGTACATGTGATGAATCTCTTATCACCGGTGAATCAATGCCGGTGGCCAAAAAGAAGGGTAAGTTAAAATATGTTATTATGGTGGTCGTTGTAATTATCAAAGTTGTAGTCAGTAATTTTAATAGTTTTCATTATAAAATGTTCTCATGATTCTGTATAATGATGGCCCTAAAACAGTTCCTTGTGGTACACCTAACAATGTCTGTGTACACTGAAATAAAAAACCAGGTTTTAGCATATTATTACTATCATAGGCAGTAGTATTGTTTTATTTAAATAAAAATTAGTATACTAAGTATGCTGTAGTTTATAAAATTGGTCGAGTTGAGTAGAGCAAGAGTATGATGCGTGCAGTCGAAGGTTAAAGTAAGGTTATCCAATATTACTCAAACTAAAATGCAGTATAAGATTTTAGTTCATATTTTTTAACTGCGTTCTATGAAGTAAAGTTACATATTCTTAATGGAATTACTGAGACTATATGTAGGTGTGGGCATACGTTTCAATAGCTTGTTTTTACTTCAGAATTCCTTCATTTATGAACGGATTTAGAAAATCATTTTGCATTTAGGATTGTATAATTTATGTTTGCTCCAATTCAATGACTGCTAGCGTCTGCGACTGCCGTGTTTAGGTTTCGGGTTCGATTCCCGGGTCGGACCAAACGTTTATATAATCTGCAAATATTTTTTACCGAGTTTAGATGTTTTTTGTATTATATGTATATTTTTCAACAAAACTAAGTATATAAGTATTCTATCGGTCTAGTTCTGGCTTTCATAGTATAAGCTTTGCTTAGTTTGCGGCTAGATGGCGTCGTGTGTCAGATGCCCGAAAATATTATTATTATGAATTAAAAAATAAACGAAAAAATTAAACCCCTAAGGGTGCAATAGAGAATACAGTCAGTTAGAATGTTTAGCTGAAGCAAGCGCGTGTGTGTGTGTCAGAGAGCGCGGTGATCGGCGGGTCCATCAACCAGCACGGCGCGCTGGTGGTGCGCGCCACGCACACGGGCGAGGCCAGCACGCTGGCGCAGATCGTGCGCCTCGTCGAGGACGCGCAGGCCAGCAAGGCGCCCGTGCAGCGCCTCGCCGACACCATCGCGGGGTGAGTCCGCCCTAGCTCTCGGGGACCTCTTTCTAAGGAGATTCCTATGTTCAGCAGTGGACCGTTAAAGGCTGTTGATGTGAAGCAACACTCCTTTCCTATCATTCAATTCTTATCCATATTTTCAATATACTCAATTTTCCTATCTAATTCCTAATGTGCCCATCGCTACAGGCGACTGACATACCTCTGTCTACTCCTTCGGGTATAAAGGCGTGAATATATGTATATACTGATATAATATGTTCTAAGAATTTGTTCTCTTTTTCAGATATTTCGTTCCACTAGTAGTCTTCCTGTCTCTTCTAACTCTCATCTGCTGGATCATAAGCGGAGCTCTGGATATTAACAGAATTAAGGCAATCACACCAGTAAGTTTTATTTATTTATTACAACTATGGAGGATTTACAGCTATGATGATTACAATAAAAACAGTCAAGAAAACAGATAGCCAATAACAAATCCTCACTTATAGAAATCAGAGATAAGTTACAGTGCACAAGACAATACAGAATAGGATCAAGAGGTATTATATAAGTTACAGGCACAGATCACTTACAAATTACACAGAACGTAATAATATACACACAAAACAGACAGGACCCACAACAATAACTACTCAGACCCTCCACCATCACCCCTGAAGAATTTAAGGCTTAAACACCTCCTCGCTCCCGTTACACTAACATTAAAAATATCAATTCCAAATTGTTCACACACATTATTGAGGCTGCTAGTTGAACGAATAACAAAATAATTTTTTCTATAGTTCGTCAGTGCAAATGGTACACTCAGCGGTGGGTTATAGCGAGTTCTTGACGGAATATTAATATTAAACTTAGATAAAAGTTCGCAGTACAATCAGCGATTTCACGACGCGTTGTAAGGGGTAGTAAATGATACTTCTTGCAAAGGTCAAAGTAAATTTCCGAGTGATAAGGTACTTTCTGGTGAAAGCACAAATATTTTATGAACCTTCTCTGGATATTCTCAATTCGGTCTACATATTTTTGGTAGCAAGGATTCCAAACTTCACATGCATACTCTAAATGGCTTCTAACAAAGGTGCAATACAGAATTTTTAAAGTTTTTGCCTGTTTGAAGCCCCTAGACAGTCGCATTATGAATCCTAATGCTTTAGAAGCTCTGGCAACGATTGCATCTATGTGTTCTTCATAGATCAGCTTCGAGTCATGCGTGACACCCAGATCCCGGACGGAAGCACTATTGTTTGATCTACAGTATATTATCTTTCTTCTCGCTCTTCTGTAGTTTGTGGTATTGAGTTCGTGAAAAGGGACGGAAACAGGTAACAGGATGCAAAAAAGCATGCGTTATCAGTCAGTGCGCAGTTTCGCAGCGGTAAATCAATCAGAAAGGAAACTTTAATGCGACCTCCACAAATAGTGAAACAAAAACATAGTACAGCGCCATCTAACGTAGACACACCGAACTACGGAGTATATACACAACACGATTAGCATATATACAACTTTAAAACATCAATTTTTGGGCTGCGGCCCGCCAAGCATGATCACCTCGGTCTAAAGATCTTTGTGCTGCAGGTCCATGACACCAGTTCCAACACAGCTTCATCTGAAAGATATGTAGAGGTGTAGACCACAAAAATATTATTAAAAAAGTTAGGAAGTTTACGATGTTTTATGTTCTAGGCTATGTACCTGAATGCCGGCTACTCCGACTGGGAGCTGATCATCCAAACAGCCTTCCACTTCGCCCTGTCAGTTCTTGCGATCGCCTGTCCGTGTGCCCTGGGTCTCGCCACCCCCACGGCGGTAATGGTGGCTACGGGGGTCGGAGCCAACATGGGGCTGCTGATTAAGGGTGCGGAACCTTTAGAAAATGCTCATAAGGTAAGTTAGAGGGTATGGAAAATTTTGTGATAAAGCTAGCCAACAATAGTAACGTCTTCTCAGTACAATATTATCAAATACTGAAGGAATTCTAGTAGTAAGTAATAAGTTGTGTTGAGATTTCAGTGCGTGCCAATCGTAGCGGCGAACGCGGTCACCGTGACGATCGAGTAGAAGTGAAATAAACTAGCACTTGGCCCTTAGTCTTATTATAATAATAGTATAACGAATTACTCCACACTGACACCACAGTAGTAGTATTAGTAGTATCTACATTGCACCCGTGCGAAGCCGGGGCGGACCGCTAATTTACATTTTTAAATATATTTATGATTCATACCAAAAATAACCAAAATTCATTTGAAAATATAAAAAAATAGTGTCCCATCGGTATCGGGTATAGGGACCAAGATACCGGTAGTTAGGACTCCAGAGACAGAAACCTCCTCACAATACGTGCTGAATCAAGAAGGACTACTCATGTATAAGGCTCTTTCACTCTCTGAAGAAGTTGGTCGAAGCTCTTAGCACTTAATCCATGGGTTGATATATGATTGTTTGTTGCAGGTAAAGACAGTGATCTTTGACAAGACGGGCACCATCACCCGCGGCAGCGCAACTGTTGCCAAACTATCGCTCATCACTCCGTCGGCCAGCTCGCTGTACGACGTGCTCTCCTGTCTGCTCACTGCTGAACTCAACTCTGAACATCCTGTCGCTTCTGGTGAGCATACTAAGTAGACTACGCACATACATTTATTACATTTTATTTTATTTCATTATTTTTATGGATAACAACAGCTTCTTATTCTTAACTAGGTATCAAACTATGATTACATGAGTACCCAATAAAAGTTATCCACGGTAGATACATAGAGTGGATGGATATTCTAATAACAATACATAATATTAAAACTGATTGGCAAACCTTGAAAAGATAGGTGTATTGATGTGGGAGTGGAGGGAACGACTCGGGCAATCGAGCGCCGGGCACGCCGTCATCGTGGCGGTGATCACTGGGAAATTATGTTTCTAGGAACACCTGTGTCTGATCCGCAAGGAGCCAACGCCTGAGTGCCACCACTGCGATGGCCAGACCGTGGACACGGCTCTCCACACGCTGGCAGAGTGCCCGGCGTGGGTTGAGCAGAGGCGAGACCTCGTGGCGGCCATCGGAGTGGGAGTTCTCTCGCTCGATAGCCTGATTGCGGCTATGGAGTGCGTGGAACTCTGCCGTTTCCTTCTGCGAGCAAGTTATGCTCGCGAAGGAGACGGCGGAGCGGGACGCGTTGCGAAGCGCGCTCGCTTCCAGGGAGCAGAGGGAACATGGAATTCCCACACGGGGGGGGTCGTCCACTCGTCTGTAGATGGCCCGAGGTATGTCGGGGCACCAGGGACTTCCTTTCTAGTGTATACCTGGTTCCCCGGCTATTAGTACCCGAGACGGCGTTCGGTTTTAGTCGGTTCGAGTCCGACATGCCACAGATAGGTGGTATCCGAGGGGATTTCGGCACGGAAAAAAAAAAGGTGTATTGATGTAAAATATGAAATATAATAAATAACTGAAATAAATAACACATACAAATATATAAATATGAGGGAAAAATTAAATTTAATAAATACATTAGAAACTTTATATCATCTAAAAACCTATCAAACCAGCCATTCAGTGCAATGATGTTGACATTTCACAAAGCCTATGATGATAGTAATTTAAGCTTAACTCGTTTTTTGAAATTGTCCTTAGAACCAATGAGTATGTCTACACTACTAAAGTGTTTATTATAAGAGTCGAGTAAACGTGATATTACACCATTTCTACCGTAATTAGTGGAGTGAAATGAAGTGCAAAATAGTGTAGTGTGTCTAGTGCGTTTCTTGGGTACATTAAACTTAATATTATTTAAAAGCATAGGACAATCGAGCCGTCCTCGCAAAATGTCATAGAGTAACCCCATACCCATCAGAATACGCCTTTCCTCGTGAGTTAGTAGATTGTAAATACGACAATTTTCTTTGTAATCATGTAAGCTGTGATGAAATTTAAAATTAAGGTAATCTATAAACTTTTTCTGGATGCGCTCAAGACTGCCTTTGGTTATCGCATAACAGGGAGACCATATCTGACAACCGTATTCCAGTAAACTACGAACAAAAGCAATATAAACAACACTTAAGCTCGACAAACTCTTGAAAGGTAGGCAATATCTTAGGACAAAACCGAGATTGCGAAATGATCTGCTGCATATAGCATCAATGTGCTGTCGCATAGACATCTCCGAGTCCAAAAGTATACCCAGGTCTCGCACAACCTTGACCATCTCGATTGCAACGTCGTTAAAACTGTATTGGTATATGATAGGATTTCTTATACTAACCGTGATATTATTTTTAGTGTAGTACTTGAATAAAGAGTCGAGATCCTCTTGAAGCAAGACACAGTCAGATAAGGAGTTAATGGATGTGTAAATCTTTTTGTCATCAGCGTATAGTATGTAATGTGAGTGCTTGATGTGATAAATTATGTCAAAAATATAGGCGTTATAGAAGAGAGGGCCAAGGTGCGATCCCTGGAGAACGCCAGAGGGGATAGATACAAAGTCAGACTTAAACCCACCCAATACAACAGCTTGAGAGCGATTAGTTAGGTACGATTCAACCCACCTAAGCGGGTCACCGTGAATACCTAACGCGTACAGCTTACGTAACAGGATGACGTGGTCTACACGGTCGAATGCTTTTTCAAAATCTGTTCTACATTTTCTGTTTACCCGAATATTTTAGGGGGATTAGGGTATTTTACTCTATATGAGAATACTAATAAACTGCTAATTGTTTACACAGCTAACTGACGTCATGATCACAGTGCTATAAAAATACATGCAAAATACACACATTTTCATAGCAATTGTCCACGGAATAAATTATTGTGTTTTTTTGTTGTAATCCAAACTCTTTAAAAAAATGGGTGTTATATTGCATTAGACATCGAGAACGGTAATTATGATGATTGTGTTATCCACAGCCATAGTGCGGTGGTGCAGCGCGGCGCTGGGCGGCAGCGGCGGGTCGCGCTGCGTGTCGTTCGTGGCGGCGCCGGGCTGCGGCCTGCGCGCGCGCATCAGCCCCGCGCCGCCGCCCTCGCCCGCGCTCGCGCACCACCTCGCCAACGTGCTCAACCAGGCCAGGTACGCGCTACTCCACTGGCCTGCTGCTCTAGCAAGGATTCCCAAACTGATCTTATTTCATTTTTTTTTAATTATTTGAAATCGTCTCTTGTTTACACTCTAAGTCATAGATCAACACAACACAATAGCAATGTATGTACGTATCGAAAATCTCTTATATGCCTGAGCCGATCAACAACAGCCCGTTTCCAAGGGGTTGAGCCTCATGAGAAGAATGGACAAACAAACTCACGGCCACTCTTTTTTAATCAACAGATACATACGGTGACATTATTAAATACACACACCGTTGTTTTAATGTGTGCCAGTATGTAAGTTTTAAGGACTAAAACATAAAAAAAAATAGATTAAAAAAAGGTGAAGTAAAACATTAAAAAATGGAAAATTAAATAAAAGACACACTAAGCCTACAAAAATAGCCTGTGCTAATTTAATAAATTAATCCCAAGCATTCTTGTCTTCTATGTAATCCACAACTGAGTAATCAGTCGATCGGTCGATATCGATTGCCCAGGGGTCGATATATATAAATGGAAACTGATTTTAGGAGTCGAGGAGTTCTAAAAATCGACTGCTACTAATTAACACTAGTTCTTATGTGAAACTTTCAAGATACAATATCAGTTGTGTTACGTGTACCAACTTATTATAAGAATGACTAATATTTTAGTAGGAAATACCATTGTTGTACTTTTAAAAGTCGTTAACATGCAGTAATTTGACTATACCCCTATAGCTGAAGTATCAGTTAATTTTTAAAAAGCGGTCGCTAACCCAAAATTATTTTAATAATACATCATCATCATCATCATCAACAGCCTTTAATAGTCCACTGCTGGACATAGGCCTCCCCTTAGAAAGGAGGTTTTGGCCTACTATACCACGCTGGCCAGACGGGTTGGTATAGGGTTTGTTTCAAGTTTTCCTTCTCTCTGCAGTGCTGTTGTCCTGCGTAGTTTTCTCCCTTAGTCGGCTCTTACAACACCCACGGGATGAATAGGGGTGGTGACACTCTGTATTCTTAATCCGTCACCACACGGACGGATTACTAATGCACATGTACAAAAAACTTAGCAAAATATTTTTCCAATGTAACGTAAATGAGTGAGTCAGAGAATAAGAAATAAAATATTAAAACATAGGTGTGATCCTCAGGAGTGGCAGTTCGACACTGCTAGAAGGAGTCCCACTGCACGTGTTAGCAGCACCAGCCCATACAGCACACACAGCGCAGCAGCTGCAAGACCTCATCGGACCTGACGAGCCCGATAGACGACAGGTTATAATTATCTATACAAATAAATAAAATACAAGTGTCTTTTTGTAATGGCAAAATCATAGGTTTTTTTCATGCTTACACAATTATTTGCAGATATTTGGTAATATTTTTTGTCTATCTGTCTGTTTGTACCGGGTAATCTTCAAAACGGCTTTGTCGATTTTAATATTATTTTACTACCAGGTCGCTGTCTATATATGGAGTAACTTAGGCTATATTTCCTCTCAGAAAAAGCCTTATAAAATGTGCTAAGCACCACATTTCGCATAACTCCTCAGCTCATGGTTAATTTATTCATATTTTTTTTAATGATTTAGTTTTAAAATATTTTATATCAAACTGCTACCTTTTTGCATCGAATAAGTAAACATTGCGGATTGCGGTAGTCACTTACCATTAGGTGACCCATCTGCTGGTTAATTCCACTATACCATTAAAAAATATTTTTAGGCAGGTCGTTAATTGTAATAAAATGCTTTAATTATAGGAGACAGAACAGGTAGTGCTAATCGGTAATAGAGAATGGATGTCCCGCAACGGAGTAGCTGTACCTCGACAAGTGCAGGAAGCTATGCAGCAAGACGAGGAGTTGGGAAGAACCGCCATACTGGCCGCCATCAATGGTATGATCAGATCTTAAGTAGTTTGATTTTGTACTTGTGGTCGTCGCCGATCGTTATTTTCTTCATGTTTTAATAGACCACTGCGCTTTCACCTGTGATAAATCATTAATGTGATTTGGTCTGGCACGCAGATAAATACCATTAAATAAATCAGAATATTGTTTATCAAAGACCTTTTTAGATTTAGACCTTTCGTGAGTCTGGCGCTAGCGATATTATTTAAAGTACCTCGGGCCATCCACGGCTTATAGATGACCCCTCCTGTGTAGGAACCCGGATGATCCCTTCCTGCCCCAAAGGGCGTGCGCGCTCCGTAGCGCGTCGCGCCACCACCCACCTCGGCCTGCTTCTGCTAGAGTGACAGATGGCCTCACCTGTCACCCTCAGCCCTGCGGTACCTAGCCCGTTCTCGGGCCTGGCGAGCCCGGAGGGTTCTGAACCTCTCCCGGTCTCGTTCCGCCATCTCCTTCATAAGCATAACCTGCTCGTAGAAGGAGACGGCGGCGTTCGACGCATTCTCGCTCCGCCTGCCTAAATTAATCATATCTAAACTCAGAATGATGATCTGAATCCACAATAATGGATTTAGGTACACTGTCTCTTATACCCTTTGGTTATACTAGGTATTTCTTCAACAGACCAGCTAGTATGCACAATCGGAGTGGCAGACGAAGTGAAACCAGAGGCTCACTTAGCTGTTTACTGTTTAAAGAAGATGGGTCTCCAAGTGTGTTTGTTAACAGGAGATAATAGAAAGACAGCCGTAGCTATTGCTAGACAGGTAATATGTAGTTTCTTCTCTAAATATTCGTATGTGTGACATTAAGTATTATAATGTAAATGTTTTGGGTTTAACATTTACTAGGTTTTTTACGTCTAAAATTTTTGTAAATAGATTATTTTGTAAATTAAAACTAACAGTGGTCCTACCTATGATCCTTGTGGGACTCCAAATCATAATATACCGAAATTGTATTTAAAAGTTATTAATTGCATTTATTTAATTCTTTGAATTCTGTATATAATATATATAATTTAAACTTTTAAATAATAAATCATTCGTACTAATGGCGGTATATGATAGTTAAACATAAAATAAACATAATACACTTAATCAAAAGCATCATCGAAATCGATATTAATCATATTTCATTACACACCCCAAATGTTAAATGTGTTTTATTGCGCTTTAGACAGTTTATTTGACATCGGTTATCATTATTATATAAATTGATGTTATTTATTACGATTTCAATTGTAATTATTCAATAGTATATTTTTAAATTCCCAAAAAGACATGATCTTTTAGCTACAAAAAAAATTATGTCTTGAGTAATAAAAAAATAATGTTACGTCGAGTGCTGCTGTAGGTTATTGATTGACGCGTGGTGGATGTTCAGGTGGGCATCAACAAGGTGTACGCGGAGGTGCTGCCCTCGCACAAGGTGGCGCAGATCCAGAAGCTGCAGGCGGCGGGGCAGCGCGTGGCCATGGTGGGCGACGGCGTCAACGACTCGCCCGCGCTCGCGCGCGCCGACGTCGGCATCGCCATCGCCAGCGGCACCGACGTCGCAGTCGAGGCCGCGGACCTCGTGCTCATGAGGGTATGCACTCACACTCACTTGATACGGAGCTGCTCTGTTGCTCTCCATCGGACATTTCACAATTCAAAGTTCGAAACGGCAAATTGCTTATGTTAATAGATTGGCGAGTGTAATTCAATATATATTCAGCCGTTCAGGCAAAATTGATTAACAAACCTATATCCAAACTATTGCATTTATGATAGATCTGATTTTTTTTTACATAAAATTAATATTCTCATTCATTGTAAAGTAAAATTTTGAACAAGTACATTCTTTACTATTCGAGCTATTTTATAAAATTATTTCTATACTAAAGAAGGAAACTAAATTAAAACTACCCATAGCTTAAGCAGATCAAAATCTCATACTCATATCTTGAATTAGATAATGGCAGAAAAACCAACCCCATCTGACTTCATTTTATTATAATCCCTTAAAGCTTTCGGGAGATAAATTAATATTGTTTATGCAGATATAATACAGAGTAAAGATTGAATACTTAAAGGTATAAACATATAGTGAACAAGAGCCCCAATCTTGTAATACAGGCAACGATAGAGATGGATAATAGATAGATCCCTCTATCTCTTTCTAGCCGAACTTTGTGTTTGGCTGGTGAATGTGAGGGATAGCCAATCATAGAGAGTATCGGGCATCCATCTCCCTCGTTGCCTGTGTCACGTACGGGCAGCAGTAACGGTGGGTCGGTCGACAGAACGACCTGCTGGACGTGGTGGCGTGCCTGGAGCTGTCGCGCAGCACGGTGCGGCGCGTGCGGCTGAACTTCGTGTTCGCGAGCGTCTACAACCTGCTCGGCATCCCCCTCGCCAGCGGCGCGCTCGCCATGTACGGCCTGCAGCTGCAGGTAACACGCATCACGTTCTATCTGACAACCTAGCTTACATAGTGCGAGCTCCGCTTAGTTTGAAACTAGATGGCGTTGTGTATAAATATGTTAATACATAGTACAGGCTCTGCCTACTTGGGATTAGATGGCCGTCTGCTAGAGTTTAAATCTAGACGGCGGTACGTAATGTATCCTGGAATATTATTATGACTTTGATATTTCGTTTACAGCCCTGGATGGCGTCAGCTGCGATGGCGATGAGTTCAGTATCAGTAGTGTGCTCCAGTTTATTGCTTAAAACGTAAGTATTGTTATGAGCTGAGTATATAAATAGTAAAAGTTGTCAGTTAATTACTTTATTTCACTGTATTTACAAACACACACTACTAGGAATCACTATAATTATATCTTCTTAGTCGCACTAGAAATTCACTCCGATGTTAACTCGATGTGTCGTAAAACGAAACTGTGTCGAACGACCAACACGCTCCGCTTTTATTGCGCTTTTGAATTTTACTAAAAAGTTCTTAGTGTTCGACAGTTCGTTCCAGAAAAACAAGAATATTCCAGAATCAGTCACGCGTTACGTGCAGCGCCATCTAGCGCCGTAATGATCAGAACTACTCGTATTAACTGCCGGATCTTAATAGATGTACTTTAGTCGATAGATAGCGCTGTCCTCCACATTTCATACAACCGAACCATTTAATCCTATGGCCCAACAGTATATTATTTATGTATAACTTATAGTAATGCCACTGTTTTTCCCTCGGCTGGCTAGGGTCACTCCGCACTGTAGGTATGAAGGTAAGTTTCATTGAAACCTTAACATTGGAATAAAAAAGTTAAGCCATAGAAAAAGATGCGATTGCAAGGTTAATATCATCATGAACAGCCTTCAACAGTCCACTGCGGGACATAGGCCTCTCCTTAGAAATGAGGTTTTGGCCTACTATACCACGCTGACCAGACGAGTTGGTATAGGGTTTGTGACGAGTTTTCCTTCTCTTTGCAGTGCTGTTGTCCTTCGTAGATTGCTCCCTTAGTCGGCTCTTACGACACCCACGGGACTAGTGGGGGTGGTGACAACCCGTATTCTTAATCCGTCACCACACGGATACAAGTTAAATATCCTGTAGGTAATTAGTGCTGTGCAAACTGAATTACACTTCATTGTGTGGCAGCAAGGTCTATATTTGTTTAAAAAATATATATGGAGTCAGTCTTCTGTACCTGGACTAATATATTTTATGTCGTATTTGATGATGAGGGTGAAGTGCACTTGGTCAGACCAGCCTAACTGCCTCTGGGTCTTTTCCCCTTCAATCTTTCCTCTGACCATCTTTGAAGATAGTTGCCTTCTTTCGGCGCGATGTGAATAAGGTGGATTGACTGCACGGATGGCTTAGTGGTTTAAGCGGTCGCCACGACGCTCATTACTACTAGAGTGTTGTGGGTTCGATCCCCACATGGGACGACACTTTGTGTGATCCACAAATTGTTGTTCTGAGTCTGGGTGTTCTTTGTGTCCGTTTCATGTATGTTTGTAAAGTCCCCCGCGACACAGGATATATTCTTAATGCGGGCGTTGACTTTAAAAATAAAGACATCGTAGACGATAGATAGTGCACACGTGCAAGTAAAAAGAAATAACTTGGTACTAACGTACTCTTTTTATGGAATTTTTAAAAATCCTGCTAAGGTACACACTTACGTCACCTAAGGAATATTTGTGCAAAATTTGATGCTTCTAGACCCAGTGGTTTCAGCTGTGCATTGATCTATCAGTCAGTTTGTTCTTTTATAGATATACTCGCCCATTAAGTAAATGTACCCCTCTCTCTAGAGACCTTGGAAGCTAGCAACACATTTGACGGGCCTGTTGGTCTAGTGGTAAGTGACCCTGACTGCTGAGCCGGAGGTCGTGGGTTCGATTCTCACCCAAGACAAATAATTGTGTGAAGATAATGATCATTTCATAAATATAATATAAGTATGTTTATCAGCAGTCTCGTTACCATAGTGCGGGCTCTGACTAATTTGGGATCAGACGGCCGTGTGTGTGAGATTTGTGTCAGTTGTACCTATATCATACAAACAAATAGTTATAAATATAGTTGTATATGATTTTGCCATTCACAAAATATTTATTTCAGTTTCAAGAAGCCCTCAGTGGAACAGCTGAGGACGCCAGAGTATCTCCAATCTATTCACCTGGAAGACTTAGACTCGGTGTCGGTCCACAGGGGTCTGGACGAACGGATAGACCCCAGTGAACGGGGGGCTTCGCCACTCGCTAAGTAAGTATATTATCTAAAAAGAAACCACTTGACTTCCCTCCACTATTCTAGCGACTTGATTTTACGTGTTTTCTTATGTGTCCGGAAATCGAACCGACTATAGCCACAACTCTCTGAATCTATCCCTAACCCAACTTTTATAGGAGTTACTTAGAATATTGAACATATTACTAATAAACTTAATAGGGTATATTCCATTAATAATAATATTATAATTATTTGAGCTAGCATATGACGTCACGCCTTAGTATTTCATACAAGTGTGGAGTGTAATTTAGGAGCCCTTAGGATCCTACAACTCCTTTCTTCTTCACATTCTATCTCCTAAACAACACTAGTATTATATATGTATTGATGTTCTCTCTTTTATTCTCTCTCCAACTCTAATTGTTTCTTTCTCTTCCCTACGCAGAAAAAACCGCGACTCTTGGAAATCAACTCTGTTGAACATATAAAGTATGTAGATAGATATTATTTATGTGTATGTGTTTGTGTCTGTCTGTTTGTTTTTCATCCGGGCTCAAGTATTTTTTTAGATAAGTGTTATTTCAAGCATGCTTCATGTAAAAATCATACAGATAATATAACATAGGGAGCGAATTGTATATTAGACAGAGAAAGAATATTATTTTGGTCTTACATCTCTCTCTCCTCTCTGCACTGATTGGCTGATACTAAAGAGGACATTTGAAACAGCCAATCAGTGAAAAGAGCAGAGAGAGATACAAGACCAAAACAATATTCTTTCTATCTCTACCAACCGTATGCCATAGCGCCTTGTTCGCTTCCTCTATATTAATAAGCTCTTTGGTAAAAATACCACATCCTCACCGAAGACCAGAAGGCCAATTCTCGTAATAAAAGTTCAACTTTCGATCTCACAACTGTCATAAAAGGTATGTTCGTATAGGTAGTGTCGTCAAAGGAATTGGCCTTCTGATGTTAAGCAATGCTTAGGGTGCTTTTTACAGAGTAAGTGAGGTTACCAAAAGCTTCACATCACATCAACAGCCTATACTAGTCCACTGCTGGACATAGGCCTCTCCTTAGAAAGGAGGTTTTGGCCTTCTATACCACGCTGGCCAGACGGGTTGTTATAGGGTTTGTTTCAAGTTTTCCTTCTCTTTGCAGTGCTGTTGTCCTGCTTAGTTTGCTCCCTTAGTCGGCTCTTACGACACCCATGGGATGAATTGGGATGGTGACAATTTGTATTCTTAATCCGTCACCACACCACCAAAAGCTTAAACCTCCTCTACTTACTGTAGAGTGGGGGGGGGGGACAATAGCCGACAACGCAAGTCTTCAAGTTGGAAAGTGTCTCGTAGGCAGCGGTAGTCATTTACGGTGTCTTATATGCTTGTTTTGCTCCCTATTTGTTTTTTATTTAATTACTAACGACGCCGCGACGTGACTCCAAATTTGTACGTATAAAAAGTCCTTCCAGTCGTCACATTACCACCAGGGTTTTTGGTGGGTTGGTGTGTCAAAATATAGCTGACTGCGTGAACCCACTTGTAAGAAAAGCATTTAACTTAATTAGAGAAGTCGGTATTATATTAGTAGGTATTTTCAGTTGTTGACGGATTCGACACCCAAAAATAAATATCATCAATCATCATCAATAGCCTTCAATAGTCCACTGTTGGACATAGGCCTCTTCTTAGAAAGGAGGTTTTGGCTTACTATACCACGCTGGCAAGACGGGTTAGTATAGCGTTTGTGACAAGTTTTCCTTCTCTTTGCAGTGCTGTTGTCTTAAGTAGTTTGTTCTAAGTAGTAGTTAGTATTCTTAATCCGTCACCTCAAAATTTTATAGTTGCCAATTAAAAACTTTTCCAAACAAACATAGTACTAAAAAAATATCATCTGTCTTATAACTCGAGCGCCGCGAATTCTCATTGTTTGTTACATATGTTATTGTTACACGTTTCCGTCCCCTTTTCCCAAAATTACACCTATAAAGGGGAAAGACAACATGTAACACATGATCACACATTTTCTTCTAATACTTTGAATAATTTAATCACACGACATCTGCTTGTTAATTAATATTAAAGAAGGGTGATGGTGAAAACATTTATTAAGTTTGTGTGCGTTTTTAATTTGTTTGTATTAAATGTAACGTCAATTGCATGCGGTATTTAAAGTGCGATATGACCTTGAAACTTCCTAGAAAAGAGCGGACTCCAAAATCCGTAACAGGTTTGCAGGACTTGCAGGTGTCTATAGGCCACATATAACCCATTTATAGGTACGACAGTTGCTTGCGTGTGCGTACGTTTACGTAATTCTGACATACATATTACGGAAATCAAATATGGCTCACTTAGGACCCATAATATTTTGTCCTCGTGGTGCTTCCCTGTTTAAAAGGGTTGTATGCCTATTTTCCCTTTATTTAGTCTCCCGCTTTACTAAGGAAGGATGTGGATTTTTTAAATTTCCAACTCCTCTAATTTTCTTCTGATTAATTTCACTGCGAGTTTCAAGACAATTCAACATTTTCCTGGGACTCCCCGAGTGTCGTGACTCGGTGTGTTCGTGGGTCACTGCTGTTGATCCTGGTGTACAGGAGTTACAGTGGTGGGCGTGTGTGAGGGATTAGTCCCGTTGAAAAGGCCACCTATACCATTAAAACTTGTACAAACATGTTCAGAGGACCTAGTGTGAGTTTATTGCATATCAAGTCGTTCTCGACGGCGAGCGATGATGTGAAAAAATAATATATCTCACACATCTCACACAAGGTCGTCTTATCCCAAACTAGGCAGAGCCTGTACTGTGGTAACCAGACTGCTGATAAACATACTTGTATATTACTAAATCAACCGCCTTTAACAGTCCACTGCTGGACATAAGCCTCTACTTAGAAAGGAGGTTTTGGCCTTCTATACCACGCTGGCCAGACGGGTTGGTATAGGGTTTGTGTCAAGTCTTCCTTCTTTTTGTAGTGCTGGTGTCCTGCGTTGTTTTGCTCCCTTAGTCGGCTCTTACGACACCCACGGGATGAATTGGGGTGGTGACATTCCGTATTCTTAATCCGTCACTACACAGTATGTAACATGTATGTATGTATTACTAAATACATACATGTTGTAGATAAATAACGCTCAGTAATAGTGCGGTAATATTCGTATAATACCAAAAAGTGGCGACAAGCCACCGGATGATCCTAAATCCTACCGACCAATCACATTATTACCATCGTTAGGAAAGCTTTTAGAACGTCTTGTAGTGCCCCGGCTTCTGCCAGGTGGAGTCAAATTTCATGATAGACAATTTGGATTTACGTTGGGTAAATCGACAACTGACGCTGTTATATCGGTTAGAAAGTTTGTCACAGAGTCAAAATTTCAATACGTGCTGGCTATTTTCTTAGATATATCTGGCGCCTTCGACAACGCATGGTGGCCCATGCTGTTGCTGAAATTAAAATCACGGGGGTGCTTTAAAAATATTTATTCCCTTATCTCTTCGTACTTTTCACAAGGTACAACTAAACTAAGACTTGGTCATCATTCGGTGTCGAAGGCGCTTACAATGGGATGTCCTCAGGGATCGGTGCTAGGTCCATACTTGTGGAATATCAGCTTCGACGATTTTCTTGCGATACCAATACCATCCGGATGTACTCTGAACGCGTATGCTGATGACGGCTTATTACTGGTGGAATCTGATACTAGGGCGGGGCTTGAGAGATTAGCCAATAGATGTTTGAGCTTGATATCTCAATGGGGTGAACGTAATCGCTTAACTTTTGCACCCAACAAAACCTTCCAGCTACTTTTAAAAAGTAACCTCAAATCACCGCCGAGCATTAGATTTGACAATGTTACTGTAAAAAATAAAACTACAGTGTGTTATCTAGGATTAGTTTTAGAAAGAAACTTTTCATTTATCGAACATATTAAAATAGTTAATGAAAAGTCTAAAAAGAGTTTCTGTGCATTGACAAGGATATCAACTGCGACATGGGGTCTATCATTTAATACATTAAAGATCATATACGGAGCTACTTATTTAGGTTCTATGTGCTATGGTGCACCTGTATGGGCCGATAGGGCGACCGTAGGCGCTGTCCGTCGCAAACTGTTACAAGGCCAACGACTTGCACTGATATTCTTGTGTAAGGCATATAGGACGGTTAGCACTGAGGCTTTGCCGGTGTTGGCGGGTGTGCTTCCGGTCGATCTCGAGGTGCAGAGACGTGCAGCCATGTATTATTCAAGACAACAAAACATGGAATGCGATTTTTTGGGCGCGCGGGATCGCGGTAAAATTACAAGATTGCTTCAACAGCAGCCCGATGTCTATAATGACCTCATAGACGAATGGCAACAACGCTGGGATGAATCATCCAAGGGGCGCCATCTTTACCAATTCTTTCCATCTGTTCGCGAACGGTTGTCGAGGATATGGCTTGAGGTGGATCACTGTGTCGCTCAATTTCTTACGGGTCATGGTAACTTTAAGAGCAAGCTTTATTCATTTAAATTAGTCGAGTCACCATTGTGTCAATGCTCAACACCTAACTCTCACTATGAACAGTCTGCTCATCATATCCTCTGGGAATGTAGTCTTTGGTATAATGAACGTAATATAATGCTGAATAGCTTGCAGGTGACATCTGGGGCGGTATACTATGGGGATCTTGTGTCAACTAGGGTGAATTTCCGTGCGTTTAGGCGATTCTGCCATACATATTACAGAAATCAAACATAGCTCACGTAGGACCCGTAATATTTGTGGCCGTGGTGCTTCCCTGTTTAAAAGGGTGAATGCCCATTTTACTTCATTTTGTCTCCCGCTTTGCTAAGGAGGGAAGTGGATTTACTGTATTTCCAACTCCTCCAATTTTCTTCTGATTAATTTCGTTGCGGGTTCCAAGACAGTTTAATTTCTTCCTGGGACTTCCCGAGTGTCATAACTCGGTGTGTTCGTGGGTCACTGCTGTGGATCCTGGTGTACAGGAGTTACAGTGGTGGGCGTGTGGGTGGGATTAAAAAAAAATAACGCTCAGACACAAAACAAATGATTGTACTCATCACACAACTATTAGTCGTTGTTGTTGACGGTCTGAAAATCGACCACTGTTAAGTAACACAAGTTCTTATTTGATTTTATTTGCAACTTTCAAGATACTGTACTATTCGGTCACTGTAGCAACTTGTTATAAGAATGACTAATATTTTAGTAGGAAGTATCATTGTTATACCTCTCAAAGTCGATAGCATGCAGTAATTGACTGCACGGATTGCTGCAGTGGTTTAAGCGGTCGCCACGCCGCTTCCTACTGCGCTGAGTGTTGTGGGTTCGAACCCCACATGGGACGACACTTTGTGTGATCCACAAATTGTTGTTCTAAGTCTGGGTGTTCTTTGTGTCCGTTTCATGTATGTTTGTAAAGTCCCCCGCGACACAGGATATATTCCTAATGCGGGAGTTGTCTTTTTAAAAGAAAGAAAGAAAGAAAGAAAGAAATTTGGCTATAGGGGTCTAAACTATCAGTTCATTTTACAAAAGGGGTCTCTTGCCCAAAATAGTTTGGTCTGGTTTGGTGGATTTTCCATGTATAATAAGTATATATATATATATTTATATCAGTTGTCTAGTGCCCATAGTACAAGCTCTGCTCAGTTTGGGACTGGATCGCGTTGTGTGAATATGGCACCTGTGCCGAGGTCTCGGGTTCGATTCCCGGATCGGATATGCAAATATTTGTTTTGAAGTTTGACTGTTTTCTATGTAAAATATATATGTATTAAAAAAAAAGTATATAAGTATTCTATCAGTCAATCTAGCTTTCATATTTTCGATCTGATATTAGGATCTGACTTTTCCATAGTGTCTAGTATCAACAGCCTATACTAGTCAACTGCTGGACATAGGCCTCTCCTTAGAAATAAGGTTTTGGCCTACTATACCACGCTGGCCAGACGGGTTGATATAGGGTTTGTTTCAAGTTTTCCTTCTCTTTGCAGTGCTGTTGTCCTGCTTAGTTTGCTCCCTTAGTCGGCTCTTACGACACCCACGGGATGAATTGGGGTGGTGGCAATTTGTATTCTTAATCCGTCACCACACGGACTAGTGTCTAGTAAAACAGAATATTAACAAGAAACAAAATTTATTGGCAAATACTTGCTTTCACAGAATAAGTGAGGTCCTCTCCCTCTAAGTCTGGGAATGAAAGCACTCAAATCGCGAAAACGCACTTTGTCTCGTCAATTATCAGTGTCCATGGGCGGCGTTTCGACTATTCGTTTACCCCATATTCATTTTTGTAAAAAAGTCAGATATATTTACTAATAATAATAAATATTTACTCCATTTTATAACAAGCATGAACTCCACCTGAAACTCCTCTAAAACTCTTCTTAATCCCAAATAATAGACAATGTCTATGAACTTATATAAATTAAGACCTAATTTGCCACCCTTCATTTTCCAGATTGTTCTACCGCAACAAGCCAGCCGAGGGTTGTCTTCTACAAGAAGACGACGACTTAATGACTGTCTCATTTATACCTAAACGTCGACAGGAAACCGTCAGTTAATGTACTGAGTAGACGAAAAGACCATGAGTAGACGAGAAGACCGACAGTAGACCGAAAAAATACTTATTATGAGTAGACCATGTCTCATAGGCTAGAAGACCAGTATACTCAGTGTTTATGAGTAGAAAAGTTTATATTTACGAACTTCGACGAACCACCAGAGGAGATATGTTCTCGAGCTCCGAGCGCAAACGCATGTGATACACAGTAGCTTAGCTAAAGATTCATGACGTCACAATTCTTCAACTACCCACATTTACACCAATAAAGTGAACTTTTATCTGTGTGCGTATATTTTTATCTAAAACTCTAAGATTTATACAAATTATTCAAAGATACATTAAACAATCTACTTCAAAGGAGAAAAACAGGTGTTCAGTAATTATTTCGTTGTTTTCTACCGCGTGACGTTACCGGAGCCACAAAGCTTCCCTCCCCCTGATTCTGGGGAAGGACTCAAAGTGCATCGCACTTGTGGCCCATGGGCGACGGTAGCCTACACAGCATCAGGTGAGCTGTCTGCTCGATTCCCTATGACATTAAAAAAAAATAGGGCTCTTAATTTTCTGTAGAGGGGAGACAGACCCTCCTCCCTAAAGAATAAATAAATACACACATACAGATAACCGATAATCGTTTACGCGTTGATTGCTTATTTGCTACTATTGATCTAGAATTGTGACGTCACTCTTCCAGGACATAAACAAAGGCTGAAAGTTTAAACTAGTCGGTTCCTTGCGCGTGATTAAAACTGTGTATTTTTATTTAACGTACAGGAGTTTTGATTTTAATATAGAGACTGAAAAAAAACGAAATTGAGGGTAGATTAAAAAAAAACATTATCGTTTGAGAATAAAACATTTACAAGAGTAACAAAAACATTGTGATTAAATATATTAATAGAGGCTTAGTACGTTGGTAAGGGGGAAAAATATCATCCAATTTTGTATTATTTAGACTGTACCTGCTCCACGTAGATAGTTAATGCGTAATAAAAAAAGTGGTAAAATTTATATTAACTGTGTAAATACAATTTTCATTTATATACATAAAATATTTGTAAGTACTTTATACACAAATTTAATTGTCAATACAAATTCTGTCATATACGTGAGGCTTTGAACCAAACGTCTATAGACGTTTTATGTAAAGATTAAATACCGTACGTAGGTACTAGTGATGTGCTGGATATGCGAATCGGCGGATATTCGAGGGAGAAAGGGCAAACATGCAGAATTCCCCTCTCTCCCTCAGAAACAGAGAGGGGAGGGGTTTAGATCTGTAAACTTGTATACGTATTCATTATTTTGGTGGATTTTGAACGACTATTACAATATTTTATTTCCATTTGTGACGATTTAAAATTGCTTGCTGAAAAATATTTTAAATATCCAATGTAGTTACTCGTTAACACTTCCCAAGATACTAATTTACAGTATATAATGACATAAAACCCCTCAAATATTTGTAATAATTAAAATCACTCCCAGTGCAAGTCAAAACTTGTTATTATTATTTATATTATTTAGTCCATCACGTCTCAACTGTTATCTCAGTAACTGAAGGAAAAACTTGAGATTCGTATCCTTATTTGAATCAATATTCACAGATTTAGACAGTAATAATCCATATTCGTATACGTATCCGCGGATACACATTTTCAAAGAACTGGCACATCACTAATAAATACTACGACGTCTAAACACGTTGTGTCAAATCCTATGTACGACTATAGCCGGCAAATAAATGGCAGCATTTATTCATATAAAGCGCAAAATTATTAAGAATTAAGTGTAATAATCATTTATAATTAATGTATAAAAATTTTGGCTCTAGTTTATTTTATTCGATATTAAAACAAAGTTATAAAAAATTATAACTTGCTTCCACCTTAATGCTTCGCAAGTTATTTAGTTAAGGTAATCTTAGTATTGAATACCGCTGTGTGATGTGTAAATATCAGTAATTATGTAAAATTAAATATATTAGCGTAGATTAACACATGTAAATAGCTAAATTTTATAAGTGATTTTGAAAAGCGGTGTAAACGGATCGTAGGGTAGATACGGATTTCAAAGTGAATTGGTATGTAATATCTTATATACAAAATTCTCGTGTCACAATGTTAGTTACCATACTCCTCCGAAACGGCTGGACCGATTTTTATGAAATTTTGTGTGCACATCGGGTAGGTCAGAGAATCGGCCAACATCTATTTTTCATACCCCTAAATAACAAGGCTATTTTTTTTTAGAACTAATGTGTATGGCAAAACAACGTTTCCCGGCTCAGCTAGTGTTTGTATAAATTTTTGCCAAAGGAACGAATGGTTGGGCATTTTTATGTATTGAAGCAGTCAGCTATATTTCATTTGGGCTTTCTAATACGCTTGTCTAGTCTAGTGCGACTCCCCTCTTTGTACAGAACAGTTGCCAAAGTAACAAATGTGTTGATTATTATACGGCAGAATTGAAAGTTCCGATTTTATTTCCTTATTTTTTTATCTCAGAAAAACCCTATAAAGTTTTGCCCGGCCCGGGAAACAAACATACTAAGGCAGCGTTTTTCTAATTCCACGCGGGTATCAGCTGTAAATATTAAATAAAAAGATAAAAATATTCACACTGTCATAATATTATATAAAAAATAATGTGTAATGTATTCTATCTCTTATCTCTCATTCTCTCGCCGACTTAATCCTATACATTTTTGTGTTTGTTTCTTTCTCGTGACGCATTTTCGTTTCATCGAGTTTCAAATCACAACGACTCCAAAGAAGTTTCACTTCAAAAAATATATAATCGTAATTATTTCTACGTTAATTACCGTTTCAGATCTATTCACCTTTAAATCCGTATTCACCCTGACTCAAACATTCTGAGCTTCCCTGTAATTCTAAAAATTGATTTCTTCTTTATGTTAATGTATCCGAATCTGTATTCAGATATATTTATATAAAATATATTCATATAAGACACATTTACTATATCAATGTTTATACACTAGTCGAGCGTAAAATCTGTTTCTTCAAACGTCAAAACGATACGCTCTGTACAATACTTGTAATAGCGGTTTATGACGTCACAAACCGCTGCCATATATACAAATTATTCATTTTTATGATTGATTTTACAATTGAAAAATTATAATAAAACCAAAATTTTAAACTATTATATAATACCTAATTTCCTGGTTATTTATTACGTTGGCAACTATCCTATTTATGGGTGGGTAGTTTCAATATTTAAATATTTTTGAACGGACTTTCCCGGACAACCAGTAACCGAAGGTGGTATAAAATGATCAGCCAAATCAAAAATGTAACCTTTAAATAATACCTGAAATTTATTCCCGTATTTGTATTTAATTGAATTCGAAGTTCTGAATCTAGTTAAATCCATGTATAAACCGAGTGTGAAAAACAACAAAGTAAACAAGAAAAAAAGACTACCAACCAAAAAATAAAAAAGCTATTTTATTAATTGTTACAAAGAAAACGGGAAAGTTTTGCTACACTTGGCAACACTGAATTGATACAAAGTGACATTTCACAAAATGGCTGCCGCATTCCAATTTTAAAATCGCAATATACTTGTTTTAAAAAATAAACTACCATTTAGTAGAATACTAACAAACTCATCGTCTTTAGTACGAAGCTAGTGGCATATTCCAAATGAACCTTAAAAAGGTTTCTTAAATAATATATTCCCTTGAAACGGAATAAAGTACATAGTAACGGATTTATATAGCTTTTGTTTATACAATTATCATTTTAATCGTGTATCGTATTTATATAAATATTATAGATTTAATAACAATATATTTTTGTAAGATAATTATAAAGAATTTTATTTTTTCGTTGTTTTATTGTATAAAGCGAGATATAACCCTTACACGTTCTCCGATCCCCTCGACCGGAGTGTGAAAACAGCTGTGAAGTAAGGGTTGAGCTACAACTAGCCGCACCGAATCGCACTTTTGTATGCTTTACCTATTTACGTCATTTACTAGAACTAGTAAAAGACAACAAAAACACGAAAAAAATACGAATACAGGGAGGCGCGGTCGGCACGCTGTAGCACCTGCGGAACAAATGCGATTCCCTGCCACCAGATGCAATCAAATTTAATCCATTTCTTGCATTTCACTCAGTGAATGAGGTTATCGGAGCTTCCCGCTCCATATTTCACAAAGGACTACGCATGTGTAACTCTGTAGTCGCAGGTGTTTATGGATGGTGGTAATCCCTTACCAGCAAGACTTCAATGCGCTCACATTATCATCATTATCAACAGCGTTTACCAGTCCACTGCTTGCACTCTCCTTAAAAAGGAGGTTTAGGCCTACTATATAGGGGTTGTGTCAAGTTTTCCTTCTCTTTGCAGTGCTGTTGTCTTGCGTAGTTTGCTCTCTTAGTCCTCCCAAATAAAAAATAAATATTTGTAAATCCATAAATGAATGACGGGGTTCTGAGGAATTAAATAAAATAAAACAAAACAACTGAATGAAAAACCTCTACCGTTTTTGTAAATAGTTAAAAAGTAAAATGTAATCACTCAAAATACCTCACAGGACTGTCTGATCCTAAACTAAGGCAGCGTCCATAATGAAAAGTATACTTATGTACACTTCTTACAATTCTTTATCCGTGTGGTGATGGATTAATAATACGTATATTTCACAAAAGCATACAGGGTTGCAAATTATAGATAGGCTGATATTTCTTAAGTACAAGTAAATGAAGTTAGCATCTGTTACCGAACTAGGCAAAGCCTGTATTTCGGCTATCAGCGCCAATCCTCTCGGATATAATATTGTCTAATTATCTTAGCCATTTACATAGGGGTAATAAAATTTGTATACACATTATTTTAATTTAACAGAAGTGTGTGTGTGTGTATGTATGTATGTGTGTGTGTGTGTGTGTGTGTGTGTGTGCTTTCAAGTGTATATGTTTCGTTATTTGGTTAGACATAAGCCATTAATGTCAGTCAATTTTTATTTACTTAGCTATATATAGGAGTAGTTCCGTTTCTTCATAATTCAGCTTTAGTAAGTATTCACATACCTGTTTCTTTAGTAGCACTTTTGTCAAGGGATATATGTTTATAGCTCTATTAATTCTATTGTATATAAAAGGGGCAATGAAATTAGCGAAACGTTGGGCAAATTTTGTTTTACAAGTTGCTAGTCGGGGACAAACTATATCTTTTCTTCGTTTTTCCAAAAGTTGTGGGTCAAAGGTCTGCTTTCTATGTTGTAGCAGACAAGCGCTTAGGATAAATAATTGACGAACTGTCAGAACTCCAGCTATCTGGTACAGCATTGTAGTAGGGAAGAATATGGGCTGAAAGGTACAGACTTTTAATATCGCACGCTGTGCGATCTCGATCGGTTTCATTACTGTTTTTAGGGCGCCACCCCAGGTAGAGATGCAGTACGTCAAGAGCGACTGACAAAGAGAATAGTATATCTGTTTCAACAATCCGGGGTCAGCAACATGCCTGAGATTTTTAAAGACATATATCAACTTTCTTACTCTTCCACACATTATGTGTTCTTTAAAGTTAAGATTGCTGTCCATGATAACGCCCAAATATTTTATTGCATGTACACGTTCCACTGTGGGGCATGAGCAGTTACAGCCGGATTGACATTGATGTGATACGATTTTACGATTATTAAAATTCTCCTTGACACCCTTAATACTGAAGCAGATATATTTCGTCTTATCTACGTTAAGGGTAAGGATGTTTCTATCAAGCCAGTCCCCAACAGCACCAAAACCCGCCTGTGCAGCAACAAAAACCTCATTCCAAGTGTTGGCGCTAAAGGAAAGTGCAGTATCATCCGCGAAAGATATGATTATGCCTTTGGAGAGTCTTAAGCTTGTAAGTTCGTTTATGTACACGAGGAAAAGCGTAGGGCCAAGTATGCTGCCTTGTGTAACCCCGTGCGATACCTCAAGGTTACCGCTTTTATGACTTCCTACTCGAACACATTGCAGTCTCCCAGTTAGGTAACTCCTAAAAAGATTTAATTGCATTCCTCTAACACCTAGTCTTTCGAGTTTGTCCAACAGGATGGAAACAGAAATCGTATCAAAGGCCTTGGCTAAATCTAGAAAAATAGTGAGGCATTTTTTACCATTATCCAAGTTTGATGTTATATAATCAGTGAGTTTATTGACGGCTAGATCAGTTGATTGATCTCTTCGAAAACCGTACTGGTTAGTTGATAACAAACTATTACCTTCCAAATACTTAACAAGCCTCACGTTTATAATACGTTCAAGTATTTTTGAAATAGAAGGCAAGATGGATATTGGCCGGTAGTTTTCGACACGATTTCTGTCGCCTGCCTTAAAGATCGGGCACACTACAGCTTTCTTTAGAGAATCAGGGAAGACGCCCAATTAAGAATACAGAATGTCACAACACCTATTCATCCCGTCGTAAGAGCCGACGAAGGGAGCAAACTACGCAGGACGACAGCACTGCTAAGAGAAGGAAAGCTTGACACAAACCCTTTTGGCCAGCGTAGTATTGTAGGCCAAAAATTCCTTTCTAAGGAGAGGCCTATGTCCAGCAGTGGAGTATTAAAGGCTGTTGATGATGATGATGATACTTATGTGTTTCTAAAAACATACATGTTATAGATGAATTACACCCAGACACAGAACAAATGATGACTCGATGTGTCCCGGGTTTAAATAAAAATTATTTTGTATTTTTAACCTCTAAATAAAGAACGTCTATTGGAGGGGTTAATATTCTCTATATATTTACATAACTCTACGAATCTTTTATCCATTATATGTCATTTGTCATAAATGACACACAAGTGTTTAGTAAATATATCACAAAAACTATTACATACAAAGAAATATTTTAAATTCTAGAATTTTATGTAAAATGGAATCGATATTCGCATTGGTTAAGGCACTGGGGAATAATAACGTTGGCGGCGTTGTTAAACTTTTAAAAGATGGTAATAATATTTTTTAATTTAAATTTATTTAAAATTTTGGCATTAGAAAACTTTCTTATAGTTTCACCCACGTTTTTATTTTCAATGCACCTAATAGTCGTAGTGTAATGGAAAAGAACCTTCTAGTATCTAAACAATCAAAATATCTACTACCTTTTATATCAGTCCAGTATCATTTGATTCTGAAATGAAATAAAAATTTGATATTACACAGCGCTATCCACAACTAACAATAGCGTAGGTATAAATTATCAGATACAAATATTTTTAACCAAATAGGTACATAGATACGATACATGTTTAATACATAATTGATTTAAACTTATAATTTTAGGCATTTACTTCCAACCAATCTTTGGGTCCTGTTTGGCAGGTGTACAATTTAGATCATTTATTATGATTTACTATCTGTACCCTGCCACGATTTGCTGGAAACTCTGGATTTGGAGGAACTCATTAAGGAATAAAACTGACGCGAAAAATAGATTAAAATCGTCTTTGAAACGTGTTGTGTATCGTGACAAAATTTGAGCTCATCATCATCACATCAACAGCCTTAATAGTCCACTGCTGGACATAGGCCTCTCTTTAGAAAGGAGGTTTTGGCCTACTATACCACGCTGGCCAGACGGGTTGGTATAGGGTTTGTGTCAAGTTTTCCCTCTTTGCAGTGCTGTTGTCCTGCGTAGTTTGCTCCCTTAGTCGGCTCTTACGACACCCACGGGATGAATTGGGGTGGTGACACTCAGTATTCTTAATCCGTCACCACACGGATGAGTTTGAGCTCAATGGGTGCAGAATATTTTGAGTTTTTATAGCGTACACAAATCAACCTAACATTTTTATATGTAGATCATGAGATTACTAGTCCATGTATTTCGCGAAAGGTGAATTTTATAGATAAAAAACGATCCCTGTCTGATCAGATATTAGTCGTATGTCTCCCAAATACTCGAAAGGTAATCTACGTAGATACATTAATATTATAGACGCGAAGGTCGGTCAGTATAAATGTGTGAATGATGGTTACTCAATCACGTCAGAACGGATCTGAGGGCCGAGTGCAGGTTTATTTTACATCGACTCTCGACGACAAGCGCGTTTAGCGTTGCGATTGGTGGAGATTTCAGTGCGGGCCAATCTCAGCGCCGAACGTCACCGTGACGGTCGAGTAGAAGTAAAATAAACACACACTTGGACCTCTGGATTAAATTTGCCACGAATTGTGCGGAGTGCTACCACGGTCTAGTAGGAAACCGGTACTAAACAATTCTTCTGTTACACTTCACAGAGTCAGTGAGGTTACCGTAGAAAAGAGGACGGCTACGCACTGCTGTCTCTTGATTTGCAGGTGTCTATAGGCCGCGGTTCTTACCATCCCGTCTGCTGGTTTGCCTCCATTCCATAAAAAAATAAAGAATAGTCTATGATGTTCTGCATTCAGATATACCGTCATCTTTAGCTGTTATTAACTCGAAGGCGAGTGGTGGCTTCTCCACTCCACTTAATCAATTGAGGTCCGGACTTATAACGTTTATACGTAGCAGGTCTGTTCGAGGGTTCTGGTAAGAAGGAGGACTACTTCCGTTCATTGTTCAAAGGGCTCGAAAGCATAGAGTCTGAACAGTTCACGGCAGCTATGAGACAGTTCGGAGACAAATATGGTAACACCATGGAACAGATGACTGACAAACTGATGATGAAAGCACCGCCCGTTCTACGGCAGTTTAATAGTAAGTACATTAATACAGGCTGTTTAAAAAATGAATGAAAAATTTTACCGTGCGAGAGTCATGTTTCGGCTCATAAGGGCCCGCGGAGTACCACGGCCTCACAGTAAACCGGTATTAAGAAATTATTTTTTGCTTTGAGCTTTGAGGTTCCGGAAGACCGACTCTCCCCTTAACCCTTAAATCCGGGAGAGGGGAGGTCATCAGAGAGGCTGGCAATGCACTTGTGTCTCTTGAGTTGCAGGTGTCCATGGGTAGTGGTCACTTACCATGAGGTGGCTCGTCTGCTCGATGACCCCTTATTGCACAAAAAAGTTATTGCCGTAATAGCCTGTACAAGTTATCCTTTTGGTTCTGTGATAGGTAGCTATACTATCTATAGAGCTCTACTATCTCACTTTTGATGGAACGGAAGTGTGTAACAGGAAGTCATGAAGTAAAGCGCACGCTATTTTCTTTCTTTTCTTTCTTTTCTTTTTTTTTAAAGACAACTCCCGCATTAGGAATATATTATGTGTCGCGGGGGACTTTACAAACATTCGGAAAACGGACACAAAGAACACCCAGACTTAACAATACACCCACCACCAGCCACAATACAACACCCAGACAGTAACAATTTGTGTTTCACATAAAGTGATGTCCCATGTTGGGTTCGAACCCATAACACTCAGCGCAGTAAGAAGTAGCGAGGTGACCGCCTAAACCACTAAGTTATCCGTGCAGGTCAAATCAAATCCGTGCATTTGATTTGACCAATGAGCTCGCGGCGCTAGAATTGTCCGTCAGTAGGTAGGTGAGATGCCAGATCCTATACATCATATGCGACTTTAGACTCAGAATAAAAATACAACCCCTCACCGAGACTCTTATGATCTCTTATTCACGCAGGTGATCGTGATATACCCGTCGTCCATCAATCAACATGCAGCACAGAAACGGAGACAGAATTAAGCAACGAACATTTTCATTGACGCTGGTAAAATGGAGTGTCACGAATAGTAAAGACACTCCGTTATTATATCGCTTGTATACGTGGCATAGACAAACTGCAAGACCGGCAAATGGCGGTCTACATTTGTTAACTAATATGCTATAACTAATCCTGCTGTAACGTACGTTATGTGAGATAAATAAAACGTCAAAATAGACCTTTTGGGTGATAACACTAATCACCGAACCAATTAACGGTAACGAAAACTGCGGTAATAATTAAACAGTAAAAAATTACCTAAATACCTACTGTTTTAAAATAAAATAAGCATTTTCTTTAATTTCATCAAATCTGATATTTAATTTCTTTTTAATAACATGTTTAAAAGAAAACATAATAATGTTTATTTATTTTCTGTGTAAAAATTAAGTACGTGAGGAATCCGTAAGGCGAGTGTTGCCAGGAATATAGTTAAGAATATTTGTTACTTTTAATAATCCATTGACAAAAGTTATGTACGATGTTGGCTAGTCTGATGACTACGGAGCAGATTATCTGTTTGCTCGAGCTATGAGCAAACTAGTAAATGAATAACATAATAATATTACGTACATTTTTAATGTATTTTTTTTTAATATAACACGATATTTGTATTTAGAATTTTTGTTTTATTTTTATTAATTTCATAAAATGTAGTCCAACGCCATCTAACGAAAATGAGTTGATATGAATAGCAATTGATGAACCTACAACTCGAAATGAAAATGCTAAAAATTTCCACCACTCCGACAGTAGAGGCGAGCGTGTGCCACCCACAAATACTTCTCAATAATTTAGGTTTACAGGGTGGTGTAAGTTTGACGTGTCCGTGTGTGGTATCGTAGCTCCCGAACGGATAAACCGATTTTGTTTTTTTTTAAGGTGAATTAGTCGGGAGTGTTTTTAGCTATGTTTGATGAAAATCGGTCCAAGATGGCCGCCGCCACAAAATGGCGGATCATATATTTTTTCATAACCCCCTCAATATGGGTATCAAATGAAAGGGCTTGACTAGTAGAATACTATACACTATGACAAATTTAAAATCCAAGATGTGTCAGGGGTTTTTTATTTTTTGTATTTATTTATACTAGTTATTCGTGGGTTGGATTCCCACCCTGGACAAATATTTCGGTTCGATTCCAATCCGGGACATTTGTTCGATGTTTGTATAATCCGTAAATATTTGTTTCGGCGTTTGGGTGTTTTCTATCTATAATATGTATGTATTTTCAAAAAAATTTTTTTAGCTTTGCCTAGTTTGAAACAAGATGGCGCTGTGTGTTAGATGTTCAACAATATTATTTATTTATTATGTGTCTGGGTGTCATTTATCAATTATATGTATGTATGTATTTAGAAATATACAGGGATAGGGCTAGAAAAGTACCGGAACAGCAGATTAATTCGCTGAAACACAGGTCTTACCTAGTTCGCTGGTGGTTGCTGATCATAGCTCTTTTGTCTTACAATTTTCTAATCCGTGCATGTGAACAAGAATATTGTTTAAAAGTTTTTATTATTATTACCTATTGAAGTATAAATAAAACCTAGATTTAAAAAGTTTTGTTTCAAAATTTACTCGCAATGTTCTATTTCCATGGCTGTCTAGATTTGTATATTATAACAGTCACATTTTTTTTATACCCGTGTACTTATTAGCACTAGTCTTTTAGTAGCACTTTTTTTTACAAAAAAAAAATATTATTAAAATATGGAAGCAATCTTCGCCAAATTAGAGAAAGATGGAAAAAACTCTGTGGAAGCTCTCATTAAATGGCTGAAACATTGTAAGTATAATATAGTATCGTCTATTTTAATTGTTTTATTTAATTTATGAATTTGTACGTGTTTTGACGGATTAAGAATACAGCGTGTCACCACACCTTTTTCATTCCGTGGGTGTCGTAAGAGCCGACTAAGGGAGCAGGAGAAGGGAGCGACTACGCAGGACAACAGCACTGCAACGAGAAGGAAAACTTGAAACAACCCCTATACCAATCCGTCTGGCCAGCGTGGTATAGTAAGTCAAAATCTTCTTTCTAAGGAGAGGTCTATGTTCAGCAGTGGACTATTTAAGGCTGTTGATGATTACGAATCTATATTAAATGAAAATAAACCGACTGTAGACTAAATTCACATCCAAACAAGCTATTTGAAAAACAAAACAGAAAACCCGACTGCGTAAAAATGTTTACTTAAAACTTAGAAACCGACGATTTTACTATTAGCCCTCCGTTGAATGAAAAAAGTCAATTGAGAGAAAAGCTAGTATTGAGAGTGCCTCAGCCCCAAGGATGAGAACAGTATGCCAGCCTACGCTGTTGGCCTGTATCCGTTAGCGGGCTTTTTCTCATGTACCTCGGATGCGACGGCGCATGAAACCGCGGGCAAAAGCCAGTGTGTAACATAAAACCAAAGACAAACTTATGAAACTACAAAGTGTTTTGACGCTGAGAAGATTTTCTCTATTCCTCATATGTCCAACATCTCGCTACAAAAATGACAGACATCTTTACGTAACCGATGTTTACAAAAAGTACAAAAAAAATAGTAAATCACACAAACAGTGAAAAAAATGGATGACACATTTCACAATCTGCAGATGGAAAGTAAAAATCATATCGAAAATCTGGTGAAGTGGTTTCAAGATTGTAAATATTTATAGTTTTTGTTTATTATCATCGTTATTATTACATCACATCATCGTTTCACTATAACTTATGGCTAGAGAACGTTATACCTTGGCAGAGAGCCTAGATTCGTTTGAAAACTTACTTATAACTTTAATTTATCCTAAATTTAGGTATTAAATAAGTCCATTAATAATACATACTTTTAAATTGTCCAACGTTCCGACCAAATTTCACTGGCCGTGGAACTACCTATGCAAATCGTAAAGTTATTTCTGCATTTGAAAGCCTTATTATTTGGAAAGGTTATTAACTGTTTAATATCACGCCACAGCCCTTGGGAGCAGAGTAATGATGACATATTTGGGTGATGATCATAGTTGCCATATATATGTAGATGATTCATTATAAAAGCATGTCGGAGCAAGTATCGGCATGTCCAACTTTTCAAATATATTTTTTGTTTCTTTTTTAATTTTTTGGCTTAGCAAAGTTAGTGGAAAAAAGCGAGGAAGGTGAAAGACACGCTCGCGCGCTCTTCAATAATCCAACTGAAGAGGAAATGGTTGAATTCGAACAGTTTAAAGAAGCAGTCGCTAAGTTGGCTGAAGAACAAAAAACATCCTTTGATGAAATTTCTAAAATATTGGCAGAAGAAGGGCCGAAGTTGGTTGAAGCTATTAATGCTGGACTAATGGCATTCAAAGGTTCGATGGCTAATCTAAGTGCAAGTAAATACAAAAATTATTTTACTACACATATAGAAGCGAATACAAATGTAGATAAAACAGATAGATAATGAATCATAATTCATATGAAAGCTATGGAGGGTAAAGTACGGAGAACTATTTGATTTCGCGGTAAACTGTAACCGCGTCCTGTCAAAAGCATGTAGTTCTAAAACCGACCACCATGGCGCTAGTTTCTAAGGAGAGGCCTGTGTCCAGCAGTGGACTATTAAAGGCTGTTGATGTGATGATGGCGCTAGTGTAGACAAACACTGAGCGGCTATTAACCTCTATTTGGCTACCGAACGAAGGTTAAGCTACCACCCTGGTGGTAGGACTAACTGTTAAGGATTGCCTAAAGAGTCGAGGTGATTATCTCTCCTACCAGCCAAAGCAGGTACTTTTAGGAGAGCAATTTCTGGAAGTACTATTTAATGTTTATTTTGAACCTACGCTCTAAAAAAGCGGCAATTGCTCCTTCGCTGTTACTACACCTATAGCTACAGTAGCGCCATCTACATGCAGACTTCTTCACTTCTTACTTCTACCCTCCATAAAATGTATTTTAAAACCATTAAAACTAAGCCTGACTCAATTACACAATATTTTATGATAAATTGCAATACTCAGTGATTCGAAACAAACAGCGCGCCACGGCTCAACGATGTATCCCTATGTTTTTTCGATTGACATGTCAACTCGATTCGATTAGAAACCTTCAGGAAAGTATTTAAGAAGAACCCGAATTCGATAACATTTAATAAATTCATCGCCCTAAAGATGCTTTAACAAATTATTTTACACAGTGTAAACTTAAGTTGTAAGCAAACTATTTATTCGTTGAATAAATTAGACAGAAACTTTTAGGGTTATATTATAGTTTCAAACTCCTCCAATTTACTTCTGATTAATTTCGTTTAAGACAAAGCTGTCTAACTTTTCCTAGGACTTCCTGAGGGCTGAGTGCCAGTTTGTTCCACATCGACTCGCTCTCGTCGGCGAGCGCGTTTAACGTTGCGATTGGTGGATATTTCAGTGCGGGCCACTCGTAGCGCCGAACGCGGTCACCGTGACGAACGAGTAGAAGTGAAATAAACTCGCAATTGATCTTCTGACTGTTATTACCCGGTATGTTCGTGAACCAATTTTTAAAATAAAAGTTTGAAATAAGTGAATTTAAAACAACTTATTCCCCTTAACTATATTTTCTATTCTGATTTACAATAATAAGATAATAAATAGTACGTTATCTGGCAACCCTGACGTGTCATTTCACAAATTGACAGTCATCTTTTTGACATTAAACACGCGCCAAAAATTCTTTGACACTAATTATGACATTTTTAGAGTCTTAATTCTTTATGCTTTGTTTAGAGCAAAAACATCGGTATTTATATTGATGCACGATAATTATACACATCTTTTGTAGAAGGTAATTATTCGTATTTAAGACATAGCGTTATCTAGACCAAAGTTAAGCATAATTTATACTTTAGACTCCAGTAAATGGCTACAGATGATTTTAAATTTATATCCGGAAATTAACATAAGTTGGGCACCTACCTTTGAATTGCTTGAAGTTTTGAGCAAGGCCACAAGCCGTCTTGTTCATCGGTGAACGCTCGCCGTCGTCGATTTTTTTATTTCGATAGAAGGTTCTTCATCTACCCTCACATGTTCATTATTTTTGACATTTTCTTCTAGTTCTAATAACATACACAATTACTGTTAAGTCTTCTTTCTTCTTATTATTATAAGTGATTATGTAACTCGTAACGTATTTTAAGTTTAGGCAAAAGTGGAATAACAATTCATTACGCAGTGAGTGACACGGGTCCTATACACACTCATTCTGAGAACTATTATACCGCGATGCAGCAACAGTAACAAAATCAGTAATGGGCAGTTTATTTACCTTAAGTTGATGCCATTATAAAGTCTCGACATATAATATTAACTATTATAGTACAACTTGTTTGGATTGAGATACGATTTATTTCTGTCAAAATAAATCTGATACTGAGTGTCATCACACTTTAAATATTGTAATTTAATTTTTAATCTAACTAATGATAATGTGGTAACGGATTTAGAATACGGAGTGTCACCACCCCTATTCATCCCGTGGGTGTCGTAAGATCCGTCGAAAGGAGCGAACTACATAGGATAACAGCACTGTAAAAAGAAGGAAAACTTGATACAAATCCTATACCAACTCGTCTGGCCAGCGTGGCATAGTAGGCCAAAACCTCCTTTCTGAGGAGAGGCCTATGTCCAGCAGTGGACTATTAAAGGATGTTGATGAATATGCTAAAATAACAGAACATTGAATTGAAAGTCATGTTTTTTTATTTAATGCGTTTCCTTTAATGTCACATCTCAATAACTGAGGGAGGCACTCATTCACTCGGTAAAAGAACCACAAAATTATTGCCTACACCGGTTTTCTGTTAAGCTGTAATATTGCTCCGGTTGAGCCGTCAATTTGTACCGAAGTATGACTTTTTTATTTGGATTTAAAAAATCCCGTGTTACAGGGCAGTAGGTAGGCCAAAAGTGTTGGATAGAAAACGGTAGTTACATTTTAATGGGTCGAAAAACCAATATTTAGAGACACCATTAGGGTATATTAGTCAGCCAATCTGTCTAAGCCTTCCTGCATACACATCTTAGACCTTTTCCAGGTTCTACAGAATCAAAAAATGAAATAGTGTGCGAATGTTACGGTAGTATTGATGACAAGCCCTCAAATCTTGACGAAGATATCGCATAGTAACTACTTATAGGAATAGCGAAACAAAATTCTCAATCTCGCAGGTACGAATCAAGTTCCAAAGATTGAAACCCATTTTAGTATATAAATAGATATTTCGGAAACATATCCTACATATATACATACACACACTCACGCCTCATTCACGTTCAGGATAGGCAGACGACGACAGAACGCCATTTTTTATGATTCTGATATACTGTTTGCGTCTATTCCATATTCATCAGGCCTTCATATACGGTACGGTGTTTGCCAGTGCTTTTAACGAGGCCCTTCCTCAGTACATGGCCCATCGGGTCAGTGTGTGGCTTTCGTCGCCTGCCCGCACGAACCTGCCTACAGGGCCCTTGACTGCACGAATGGCGTAGTGGCTTAAGCAGTGCAGTGTTGTGGGTCCGATCCCCTCATGGGACAACACTTTGTGTGATTCACAAATTGTTGTTCTGAGTCTGGATGTTCTTTGTGTCTTTTCATGTGTGTTTGAAAATTCCCTCGCGACACAGAATATATTCCTAACGCGGGAGTTGTATTTTATTATTTTATAAAAAAAATCGCTATTCGATCATCCTTTTACCATTTCCAAACTACTTCTTTTTCAATTATTTATACTACATTTTCGAAAGAAGAAGAATACATACATTTAATTACTTTGATTATCATTTATTATTAGATTATTATGATTAAACAAAAATGAATAAAATCTAAAGAATATGTTATTTTCGATCCGTGTGGTGACGGATTAAGAATACAGGGTGTCACCACCCCTATTCATCCCGTGGGTGCCGTAAGAGCCGACTAAGGGAGCAAACTGTGCAAAACAACAGCACTGCAAAAAGAAGGAAAACTTGAAACAAACCCTATACCAACCCGTCTGGCCAACGTGGTATAGTAGACCAAAACCTCCAATTTAAGGAGAGGCCTATGTCCAGCAGTGGACTGTTAAGGGCTGTTGATGATGTTAGATTCATGCTAGTAATAGGACATACCCTGTCTCGATACTTCACCCAAATTCGTTTCTTTTAAAAAAAATTACACATAACTTGACTTATAATGACACATCACGCACACGGCAGTCTGATCCCAAACTAGGTAGAGCCTGCAGACCAGATCTACCAGCGGTCTGCATGGTATGCAGACCGCTGGTAGACATAATTATATATTCACTGGATTCTAACTTTTAGAAGGCAGAAATGGATTGAGGTTTGATGTCACTGACTCTGGTTTAAGCATAGAATTTCATAAAAATCAGTAGGTATAATTATTATCGGTTGCGGTTTTAGATTAATAGTTGTATAAAAAATATTCAACAATATCAGAACTATATGAATTGCCAGGAAATACATTTGAATTTCAATTCAAATTTTTATGTTTACACTTGTATAATACTATAAAAGCTATGATATGCTAACTGGTGGTGATTTTGGTTGATAGGTATAATTATTTACTTTCATTTAAAATAGCATATAACATCTTTAATGGTAGAAAAATGACACTATCTACCCTTGTTATTCCCAAATTACTCTACGTCTCTGAGTCATGGATAATATTCTCATATTTTTGCCTCGCACAACCAATCTGTGGAACGGGTTATCGTCTGCGGTATTTCCGGACCGACACGACCTTCAAACCTTCAAGAAAAGAGTGTACTCCTTCCTAAAAGGCCGGCAACGCGTTTGTGACTACTGAGTTGCAGACGTTTGGTGACGGCGATGGTCACTTTCCATCAGGTGACCCGTCTGCTCGTCTGCCCTCTCTAACATAAAAACAAAAAAGAAAACATCAAAGCCGGAAGACGTCCATTGCTGGACATAGACCTCTCCTTAGAAAAGGAGGCCTACAATACATACAATACCGAAAAAGAAAAAATAGTCGCCTTTAAAATGTGGTGTTGGCTCTGCGTGCTGAAAATTCCTCGGACAGCTAAAAGCACTAACAAGTCCATTCTTGATCAACTTAGAAACACAACCAGTCTATCAACTACGTGCTATCAGAAAACTCTGAGATACTTTGGACCTGCAGCCGAAAGCAGCAGAAATAGTTTAAAAGGTGATCCTGGTGTGCAGAGTAGACGGAAAAAAATATTACGCCGAAGGCAGATTAAATCGAATTGACTTTGGATCGCCCAATCACAACCGTTATGCTGCAGACTGAGAACAGTGTGCAATGAAGGAACCTAGTGGAATTCAATAAGAAGTATCAAATCAGACGAACCTCAGAAGAACGTGATTAAGAAAAAGAATATTATCGTAACCTTTGAATAACTTCTGTTGAGTCAGATCGAAACTAGCGGGCAATTTATCTAATAATTCCGATTAAATCTAACCTACATTGATTTTTACAGCAATTGTCATAGACTATATGTAGAGTTTTTTTTTCAATAGTGTAGACGTCAATTGTTGTTCTTGTAAAATGTCATACAGATAAATAAACAGTTATAAAATGGAACAAGTATTTAATGATCTAATGAAACAATCAAAAAATGATGTGAACAGCCTCGTTAAATGGATACAGGACGGTGAATATTGTTTTAAATGTATTGAATAGCCCGTGCCCTAAAATGCGGCTGCATATTTCGTGCTTTGAATAATGTTTATCAACAACCTTCATAATCGTTATTTTAATATTTATTTATCAAAAAACATGCTTTATTGCACCTAATGTAAACACGAGATAGCCATGCTATGGTACATTTGGGACAGCTCGACAGGAATGATACAAGGGCTTCACAGAAAACCGATCTTAAGCAGTTTTCCATTGCATTTCTCAGAGATATTATCGTAGACCCAAACATTCCACCACTTTCTAATTCTGGTGGCGGCGCTCAAAGCCCGCAAATGCACTTGTTTGTGACTCTCAAGTATGAATGGAATGATTTTTTGAGAAATAAATAATCTGCTACAATTAGGCAAATCTTACAGGCAATGAATGAACTTTCCAACAAGTTCAAAAATTCAGTTATTTAATTATAGATAGATACATAGAATAAAGCGACTGTTTCGTTAGCTTTGCTCTTTATAATTGTTACATTCTTAGTTAACTTATTAATTTTGCATATAACTAAATGTAATTAACTGCATTTTTCTTTCATCTTCATGATTCTGACTTTTCGTTAATTTCATTTGTAGTTTTTCCATGACTGGGTTATTGTATGGTTCGCCCTATTTGGGCATTTAATTGTTTTCAAATGGAGCCAAAGCAGAAGATAGATTGGGGTAAACCGGATAGGACGAGAGAGCTATGGTAAAGCATACCGCGAGTCTCGGATGGGTTATGGACTCATACAAGAGTAGCTCAAATAGGCCGGTGTCGGGTATTCGTTCCTCCATGCTATTTATTAGAGACACCCCTAGAAGGAGGACATTAACGGGCAAATAAATCGAAACTCTGTTGTCAAATTTAGCCATCCGTTGACGTATAAATTAAACTCCGTTGACTTGACTGAAACGAAACGTCATTGTAGGGTTGCCAGATAAACAGCTTTTCCTTTTTTTATGGGAGAGCAATATGCTTCTCCATTAGACCATGGTTAGAAAAATACGCACATTACTGTGATGTATATTGTTAAGTTGTAAATACTCACTCAACGTTTTATTGTGAACAATTAATTTTATCAGTAATTTTAATAATTCTATTTTGATTTTCGTTTCGTTTTCAAACGATACAATTTTATTACTAATCAGATTTGCGATTGAAATTGGTTTACGAACAGATTACGCATTCATACGTACATAAATAAATCACATAATATTTTTATTCGTTTTTCTACCAAATACTTTTTTCTATGTGAACATCTGCTACCTGTTTATTAGCGAAACATCGAACTGATTAAAGCATTGATGACAAACCAATGTAAATAACTCTTGAACACATTCGTACTGTGCGCCGCCTGCGGACTGAATTTACTGATTTCACTTAATACAATCAAGTGAATTGGTCGATTTGATTATATTTTTCGTCAAATTGTTGAGGAAGGCATTTTATACCACATAATAATAATTATAAAGAACCAATACTTATGTTACAATCGATAATTCACTGTCGAGACAAAATAGTTACCTACTCTGAGTTGCCCTTAATTGCTGAAAAAATCATCAGACTTAAAAAAAATACTATATGAAATTCTTTGCTTCAGCCAAGCTCATTGAAGCGACGAAGGAAGGAGAGGAGAAGGCTCGCGCAATGTTCGCTGGCGTCGACCAAAAGAATGTGGAGATGGCCAAATTCAAGGAGGTCGTGGAGAACTTGGCCAGTGAACAACACAAATCTTTTGAGGAGTTCTCAAAACAACTTGCTGAAGAGGGTCCAAAGTTAATGCAATCGGCCATGGCGGGTGTCGCGGCGCTAAAGGATAAATTCATGAAATAAATAAGTAACAGTAAATTATACAGATATTTTTATTTAACTGTAGTTTTTTAGCACCAACTCACAGCGTGAGGGACAAGCTTTCGACACTGTCTCTATCTCTCTCCTACTTCTTAAATTAGAAATCATTGGTTTTTGTGAAATTTCACTGAATATTTTCCTTTTATATCACTCAAATCGATCTCAGTACATTACAGATCGTGTTTACGTGGGTGATCATACACTCCATGTCATTTGGAGTACCACAAGGAATCGTCTTGGGACCTACTCCTACACACCCATGTGTATATTACACAGTTCTAAAAAACTGTCATTATTGCCTACGTAAATAACACAGCTTTAATAGAGGACAGAAAAATGGGGGAAAAATGAAAGAAATCACCGAGATTACTCTTTGAAAGTAGTAGAGAGGTGGCATAAAGAAAATCTCAACTTTAAAGGTAAACAAAACCACGTACAAACCCTTAACTCTCTTTGTAATCACGCAACCACCACCTTCTTTTCAAGTTAAAGCTTATTATACCTGTGACTTGCACGATGAATATTATTAAAGAATCCTAGTCTTATGGAAAACTCCTTGAATTTGTCGCTGTTTATCAATCATTTAACTGATCGCCTTAAAAAACTCATACGAATGTAGATAAAGCTCAAAAATTAGCTGGATGTCTGGAGTCTACTCGTTACTGAATTGTAATGTGACAATGAAGGACCCCATAAGACCCCATGTGGGGTGGAAAAGGTTCAACTTTACTTCCACTTGACTGAGCTCAAAGAGCGATATTAAGAGTCATCTGTTTCTGTACTGTGAGAATTTTTTGGAACGAAGTTCCTTATCGCGCGTTACACACTGAGCGGATGGGAGCGAGACCGAAAAATGTGTAACAAGACTTTTTTTTGACACTTTAGTGGCGCATCGACGTAAATCTTTTTCATATCTCATACTAGCTGACCCGCGCAACTTCGTCTGCGTCTCTCAATAGTAATAAATTTTCTCCGTTTTTTAAACATTCTTCATTGGTGTTCCGCTCCTATTGGTCTTAGCGTGATGATATATAGCCTATAGCCTTCCTCGATAAATGGGCTATCTAACACTGAAAGAATTTTTCAAATCGGACCAGTAGTTCCTGAGATTAGCGCGTTCAAAAAAACAAACAAACAAATAAACAAACAAACTCTTCAGCTTTATAATATTAGTATAGATATAGCAAACGTCTACCAAAAAGCGAAAGAAACCCCACGCCCTTTTTTTATGATATAGGGGGCAAATAAGCAGACGGGTCACCTGATGACAAGTGACCACCGACGTCCATGGTGGACACCTGACGCTCAAGAACCTCAGTTTCTTGCCGCCTTTGAGTCGCCCTTTCCAAGAATTAGGGTAAACTCGGTGAAACGCAAAGAAACCTTTGCTGAACACCGGATCTCGGTCCATATACAGGTCATCATCAGCCTATAGCAGTCCACTGCTGGACATAGGCCTCTCCCATTGCACGCCACTTAGATCGATTTTGGGCTTCTCGCATCCAGCTCCTGCCATCTTGCGCATCCAGCCATCTTGCGCAAATCCTCACTCCAGCTGGCCTGTAGGCGTCCTACACTACGTTTACCGAGACGCGGTCTCCACTCAAGAACTCGTTTTCCCCAACGGTACCCATATACAGGTAGGTAAAAAAAACAAATAAAATAATTATTAAATTGTATTTACAACTTGACTAGAAGTACATTATACTTACATAACAAATTCTAATATACAAACAAAATTATTTTTACATAATACTGATATTTTATACTTAATACCTAAATATTTAAAATAGCAAGCATTATTTGGATGTCACGTCACTGGGCCCATTACAATTTAGGGGATTTCATTTAGTACTCACCAAGACAAACCAAATGAGCCCAAACTATATGGGTTTAAATTGTTTAGTTAAGTTCCCGTGGCCGTCTTCCAGCTCCATCATCAGAACAGTTCCATATGTACACAACATTTAAGTCCAATCAAACTTTGGGAAATGAATGACATACTAATATTGCAAGTCAAATAAAAGATTGTGAAAATTATTACCGACCTCAAAAATACTACATTATGATGGAAATTAAAAACCATATTCTTTATTACTTAATTTTCATCCCTAGGGGTTGGATTTTTATTCAAGTGGGACCAAACGGAAAGTATACCCTTTCAAATGGATTTCCTAATGCGAGTGTATGTCTGTTACGATTTAGATAAAATTTGGTATATAGATAGTTTGAGTTCCGGGAAAGGACATAGAATAGTTTTTATCCCAGAAATCATCCTTTATGGGGGTGAAAAGGGGTGAAAGTTCGTATGTAGAATCAATAATAATAATAACAATAAATAATAATATTGTACCACATTCACACAACGCCATCTAGTTCCAAACTAAGCAGAGCTTGTACTATGGGTACTAGACAACTGATATAAAAACATATATACTTTTTTTTTTGTAAATACATACATATTATACATAGAAACACCCAGACCAAATCAAACATTAAATGTTCATACACACAAATGTTTGACTTGAGCGGGAATCGAATCCGAACCGAATAACTGCTGAACCGCTGATTTAGATGAAATTTCGAATGAAAATAGTTTGATTTTTAAGGAAAGACTTGGACTGATTTATACCGCGGTAACCGACATGACACGGGCGGAGCCGCGGGTACAGGCTAGTCGGTTCATAACTGACGGAATTCTGAGGTTACAAACATTAAAAAAATGTTTTTGAAATCAGTTTTGAGTATCTGTGTGTGTTTTCATAACATACGTTCCAACCCACGCATCATACTTTACTATTAAGAAAAAATGGAAAGCGGGTCTTACGTTCTTAGCTCCAATTTATTAAAATCTTGGCTATAGGCTTAGGGCCCCGTGACGGAAAACCTTATGGGAAACGCCTTTATGTGTGCTTGTTGAGGCAGTAACCACTAACACAGGAACTTGGAATAGATCCAGCCTGACTGGGACGGTACCGCGTATGGTGACAATACGCAGGCGACATGTAAACATGGGGACAATATAATCAAATTGATTGATTTATTACAGGCCGGCTCGAAAGCCCATCCAAAAATATTTGGTCCTTCGAGCCGGATTCATATTAAAAAAAATGCTTTCAAATGTAAATGTAGATTATCACATTAGGTCATTTACTAAACATAAAGTAAATTTAAGGTTTAAAAAATATATATTTTTAGAAGTTGCAGTTACTTTCCCAGTCAAGCTGTTACAGTTTAAACTATTATTGAGTTTACTTAAGACAACATTTACAACATAAAAACATCATTTCAACCCCTACAGGGTCTGACTGCTGAGCCAGAGGTCGTGGGTTCGATTCCCACCCAGGAAATGATTGTGTAAAACACACGATACCAAGTGTAATTTTAGTAATGTATAGATATGTTTATCAGTAATCTGGTTCTGATAAATTACATTTTAGCCTCTTACTGCGCAAAATTTAATATTAATACAACATTCAATTCGTAGAAATCTTTTCAATAAGTTCTTGCAGTGCCAAAGCTTTGCTTAAACGTCTTCTGAAGTCCTGAAACAAAAGAGTTTAATATTAATTACTTATAAAATAATATACCTCACACACGGCTGTCCGATCCCAAACTAGAGGTGTTCGTATTCAGTTAAGTGCAAACGCAAGTATGTGTAACGAAATTTAGTTCCATTTATGTAACTAGATGGCGTTGTTGACATGCGGTGTTAAGATTCTCCGTCGATTATATATAAGGTCAATCAATGAATGTTGGAACGAAGAACGAAGTTCCTTATCACGCGTTGTGAAAGGGGGCTAGACGGAAAAAAATCTCACGAAAAGTTGTAACGACACTTTTTGCTATAGTAAGCTATTGTAAGCTATATAGTAGTAAAGTATAGCCAGCGTGGTATAATAGGCCAAAACCTTCTTTCTAAGGAGAGGCCTATGTCCAGCAGTGGACTATTAAAGGCTGTTGATGTGTAAGTTGTGCGGCGTGCGCATTGTTCTCTGTCTGTCTCTCTCTCTCTTATAGAAAGCCGCATGTTTCTCTGTCTGTCTCTTTCTCTTTTATAGAAAGCAAGCCAGATATTTTCGTTTCGTCTTTCTATTTTTACATTATATTTGTTAATAATAAAAAAAAATATTATAACTTAAAAAAAAAATATATTACAATTCCTTCACTAATTAATCGAAAGGAACTTCGTTCCATCCGGGTGTCCCTTGACACCTCTCAAGTTTTTTTTTTGAGTTTGAGTAGTGAGATCACGTCTAGATCTTAGACCAATTATACATACTGTCAAGGTATCTCGTGTTTTTTTTTATCCGAGTTCCGCGAAGTATTGTTCACTAGGCAGACCCTGTACTATGGTAACCAGACTGCTGATAAACGTACTTATATATTTCTAAATACATACATATTATAGATATACTACACCCAGACACAGAACAAATTATCGCGCTCATCACACAAATATTTGTCTTGGGTGGGAATCGAAACCACGGCCTCCAGCTTAGCAGTCAGGGTCACTAACCACTACACCAACAGGCCCGTCTCAAATTAAACACACAATTGAGAGCCTAGATTCCACTGAGTGACCACACAGGCTCACAGAAAACGGGTGTTCAAACCCCCTATATCTATTCAAAGGGAGAAGTTAAAGTGCAACAACGCACTTGTGAACATGGGCGACGGTAGTCACTTACCATCAGGTGACCCAACTGCTCGTTTACCATTTTATTTAAATAGTACATACCTGGTATAAAATATGTCCATTCAAAGGTACTCTGGAGGCGAACATGTCTTTGGACATAAGGCAGAGTGCTTTTCCGTTCATAGGGAATCGTTCAGGTAGGCCACCTCGCCGGGAGACCCAGGTACCGACTTCTGGGCGGCCCCACGTTCTAGGGTCTGTGGGAGAAAAGAATTATAAGATATAATAATAATTCAGAATAGTTTTTAATCTGCCTTTTATCAGACTAGCTGAACCGCAATTTCTACGTCTTTCATCCATAATTATAGTATAATCTAGCTGGTACCGAGCTGGTTCGATCCCGAACCGCCAAAATTTTATATAGACCTGGTAGTAAAATATTATCAAAAGTGGTCCAGCCGTTTAGAGGATTACCCGGAACAAACAGACAGATAGACAAAAAAAAATGGTTTTTAGGCATAGGCGTCGTTTAAATAACCGTGTGAGCATGAAAACAACCCATTATTTTGTCATTACAAACAGACACTTCAATTTTATTTTATTTGTATAGATGTGAAAGTTTTATTGTTTGTTACGCTTTTACGGCTAAACCACTCAACCGATTATAAAAATTATTTCACTAATGGAAAAATAAACGAGTAACATAAGCTACTTTTTACAGCGATACACATTCACGCGGGCGGAGCCGCTAGCAAAAGCTAGTAAGGAATAAATTCGCTCCGTTTTTGCAACATTTGTCATTGATGCCCCGCTCCTATTGGTGGTAGCGTGACGGTATAAAGCCTTATAGCCTTCTGGATAAATCGGCTATCCAACATCAAAATGTTTTTTCAACGCGGACCATTAGTTCCTGAGATTAGTGCATTCAATCAAACAAACAAACTTCAGATTTATACTATGAGTATTGAAGAGAATTTGACAGAACTGTTGTAAAAGAATGGACTCTTTATGATAAGTCCGGGTTCAAGGGTTTGATTCCCATCCAGGACAGTACAAGCTATGCTCAATTTGGGTCTAAATAACGCTGGGTCAAGGTCAAGAATATTATGGTCCGGATGTCTTAATAACAGCAGTGCCCGGATCCCTCCTATTACAAGCGCAGAGTTCCACACCGTGTGGTTTTAGTCGGTCCGATTCCGACACACCACCCCGCCGCAAACCCCGGTGGGGTGACGGCCCGAGGGGGTTTCCACACGTCAAAAAAAAGGTCAAGAATATTATTGTTATTACCTAATGGTAGATCATCTTCTTGTAATACTCTAAGGTCAAGAGCGTCCCACTTGGCGTGAGGTGGGGGTACTCGGTCACAGCGGGCTTGTGTCGGCATTGTGTCAGAATAATCTGAAAAGACAAAATAAAAAATGTTGAATATATGCTTTCCTTTATCTCTTTCTTCTTTCGTATACTCCTTAGTTTTTGATCTAGTTCCTAGTGTCTCCAGTCAACGGTAAAAGACTTCATCATCATCATCAGCAGCCTATCGCAGTCCACTGCTGGACATTGGCCTCTCCCATTGCACGCCACTTAGATCGGTTTTGGGCTTCCCGCGTAAAAAAACAGCTTGCCTCTATATTATATAACTTGGATTAAAATTATAGTCAACAAAAGAATATCGCATACTGTTGGTAAAGAGAGAAAGAAGATTGTTTTGGTCTTGCATCTCTCTCTGCTCTTGTCACTATTTTAAATGCCCTCTATATATATCAGTCAATCAGTGCAGAAAGGAGAGGGAGATGAAAGACCAAAACAATATTCTTTCTCTGTCTAACGATCGTACACTACTCACAGAGGAATATACAGGTCGCTCCCTCTGTGGGCACGTATCCAAGCACATGTCAGCAAAATGTTTCATAAGTACAAGCCCACCTTAGTTGTCGACCTGATGCCGAAGACGATTTCTTTTTTTGTTATATGGTGTAGGTCAGGGTCAACATAGAACCCTAGAGAGGGTGGAGGGCCAATCCCAACGCCGATTCAAGGTCGCCATGACAATACAAGTGCAATAAACTTACACAGAAACTTAAAACAGTCGTTTCTGAATGAGAATTGAGACTCGTGTTATTTCGCGAAACCAAAGGCAAACGGGTGGCGTAATGGTTTAAGCGGTCGCCACGCCGCTTAGTACCATGCTGAGTGTTATGGATCCGATCCCCACATGGGACGACACTTTGTGTGATCCACAAATTGTTGTTCTGAGTCTGGGTGTTCTTTGTGTCCGTTTCATGTATGTTTGTAAAATCCCCCGCGACACAGGATATATTCCTAATGCGGGAATTGTCTTTAAAAAAAAAGAAAAAAAACCTTCTGTAACAAGCACAACAGTACATAGTAATCCATACTAATATTGTGTGTCTGTCTGTTACCTCTTCACGCTTAAACCGCTCAACCGATTTCGATATAATTTGGTATAGCGATAATTTGAGTCCCGGGAAAGGACATAGAATAGTTTTTATCCCAGAAATCATTCTAAAAGGGGGTAGAAAGGAAAGTAAAGGTTTGTATAGGGAATCAATAACCGCTGAACCGATTAAGATTAAATTTGGTAAGGAGATAGTTTGAGTTGTGGGTCAAGACATAGGTTACTTTTTACCGCTTTTTACCTTTCTTAAATAAATAAATAAAAGTCCACTGCTGGACATAGGCCTCTTATTAGAAAGGAGATTTTGGCCTACTATACCACGCTGGCCATGCGGGTTGGTATAGGGTTTGTTTCAAGTTTTCCTTCTCTTTGCAGTGTCGTCTCTTACGACACCCCGTGATGAATAGGAGTGGTGACACTCCGTACTCTTAATCCGTCACCACAAAAATGTTATACCAATGCTTTTCAAACAATCATTGTTAATAGGTATTGGACATATTTTGTTTATAATAAACAATGTCAGCTTAAACAAATATCATTTATCAATGAGTTCTTTTATAAATACTATTGTTTTTTTTAAATAATAATGTGGGGGCTTTAAGTATGTTTCAATTCATTCATTTCATTTCATTTTAAAAAGACAACTCCCGCATTAGGAATAAATCATGTGTCGCGGGGGACTTTACAAACATACATGAAACGGACACAAAGAATACCCAGACTCAGAACAACAATTTGTGGATCACACAAAGTGTCGTCCCATGTGGGGATCGGATCCACAACACTGGGCGTAGTAGGAAGCGGCGTGGCGACCGCTTAAACCACTACGCCATCTGTGCAGTCTTTCAATAAACATGAACTCTACAAGCTATGTTTAAACTACTAGAGGTTTAAGAATACAGCTATAATTCTAAATATATAAACATGTTCTGTTGGTTTGTGTACGCTTCAAATACTTCAAAAGTTCTGCACCGATTTGAGCTCAAGTTTTGACACGATATACAGTACGCTTTATAGATGGTTTTTGTGGCGACTCCCACATACAAAGAAACAGAAACATACTACAGCGCCATCTAATGAAGACACACCGAACTACGGAGTAACTACTAAAATAAGAATTGCTAATCCTGTATCGCGATATAAAGAATTCCCTCGCCGATTAGCATATATACAACTTCCCAACATCAACCGTTAGGCCACGGCCCACCAGGCATGATCACCTCGCCTGGTCGGAGGATCCTCCCTTTGTGTTGGAGAGACATGACACCCGTTCCTCCACAGTTTCTCATCAATATAATCACAATATGCCACAGCGAAGCCTGGGTACAGCCCAATGATTTTAAAATATCATTTGTATAGCCAGTATAGATACTGCACGAATGGCGCAGTGGTTTAAGTGGTCGCCACGCCGCTTCCTACTATGCAGAGTGTTGTGGGTCCGATTCCCACACGGGATGACACTGTGTGATTCACAAATTGTCGTTTCAAGTACGTTTGTAAAGTCCCTGACGACATACTATTTATTCCTAGTGTAGGAGTTGTCTTTAAAAAAGAAAAGGCAAACCAACGAAATAATTTCTTAACACCGGGTTTCTGTAACGCCGTGGTATGAATGCGGTCGAGGCGGCCCATGTGTCCTGAAGCATTGCTCACGAGTGTAATCTATACTAATATTATAAAGCTGAAGAGTTTGTTTGTTTGTTTGTTTGTTTGAACGCGCTAATCTCAGGAACTACTGGTCCGATTTGAAAAATTCTTTCAGTGTTAGATAGCCCATGTATCGAGGAAGGCTATAGGCTAAAAATCATCACGCTAAGACAAATAGGAGCGGAGCACCAATGAAGAATGTTTCAAAAACGGAGAAAACGCGCAGACGAAGTTGCGCGGGTCAGCTAGTTATATGTATAACTAGCTGGTAGCCTTCGTTCGCGTGGAATTTGAAAGGTGCTGCCTTATCAATACGCGACTGCAGTCCTTGAGGCCTCGGGTTCGATTCCCGGACTGGGCAAAATTTTATAGGGTTTTTTTGAGAGGAAAAATAGCCTAAGTCACTTCTTATATAGACAGCTACTACCTGGTAGTAAAATATTATCAAAATCGGTCCAGCCGTGTAGAAGATTACCCGGTACAAACAGTTACAAAATATTTAAACTGGTTTTTATGCATAGGTATCGTGTAAATAACCGTGTGAGCATGAAAAATAAACTATTATTTTGACATTACAAACATACACTTCAATTTTATTTATTTATATAGATATAGTATTTTTACTAGACTTGCAACGAATATTCGGTTACTATTCGGTATTCGGCCTATTCGGCTGCTTTTATTATATTCGGCCGAATACCGAATATCTACATATTATTCGGCCGAATACCGAATACTTAAATAATATATTTTGTCATTGAGAAATAATTGGTAAAATGAAAAATTAAAATCGATTGATTACGTATATATTCATATTATTATTTCTGTTATAATCATTTAAGTAGTCATTGGTGCATAACACAGGTACATAATCATTTTCTGAATTTGAAAAAATGGAGGATTCTATGTATTTGAATTATTGTGGTAATCAAAATTTAGAAGGGTAAGGTTCTCATTTCTTTTATAATCATTTATTAAGTAGTCATTGGTACATAAAACAGGTACATAATTTAATTAACGTCTGTACAAGTTTTTGGCGCTAAAATCCAGCCGAATACTTTTGCCGAATATTCGGTATTCGGTATACTGCCGAATATACTATTCGTTGCAAGTCTAATTTTTACGTAAGTACAATAATCCTTTACCACACAGACCCACCTACCGGATAAAACACAAATAATCAGGAAATACAGACCCACAATGGTTTTGTGAACAAAAAATACTATTCAAGATGCGGATATGGTCGCCATTTTGTTGCCGGAAACGGATGCGGACCGAACCGCTAATATGGCGACTTATTATGTAATTATTAAAGATGAATAGGGCGGTAATAGGTTTTCGGACGCTGACAAATAACTATGAATAGGACTAAGGGTGACAATGAGTAAGGGGTGGGTTTTTAATGGACTGTACTACAATGGAACAGACCGTGTTACTGTAACTATGTGCCGTAGCGTTTCCGACTGTAACTTAAAGGATCTTAGGTTCGATTCCCACTGAATCATCATCATCATCAGCCTATCGCAGTCCACTGCTGGACATAGGCCTCTCCCATTGCACGATCAATAAATATTTATAGTAAAATGTACATTTCACATCACATCAACAGCCTTTAATAGTCCACTGCTGGACATAGGCCTCTCCTCAGAAAGGAGGTTTTGGCCTACTATGCCACGCTGGCCAGACGGGTTGGTATAGGGTTTGTGTCAAGTTTTTCTTCTCTTTGCAGTGTTGTTGTCCTGCGTAGTTTGCTCCCTTAGTCGGCTCTTACGACACCCACGGGATGAATTGGGGTGGTGACACTCAGTATTCTTAATCCGTCACCGCACGGATGAGTTTGAGCTCAATGGGTGCAGAATATTTTGAGTTTTTATAGCGTTGCCCTGTGTAGTTTGCTCCTTAGTCGCCTCATACGACACCCACGGGATAAATAGGGGTATCGACACTCCATATTCTTAATCCGTCACAACACGGACAATTTGGGTTCGATTACCGTTAAATATTTATTTTAAAATGTATATTTAATTATTGTTTTTATTTCATGTGTACTTATATATAAAATATAATGTATTTAGTATGTATAATCGGGTTCTACAGTACAGTAAGTAAACAATAACGTAAATAAATATTTATTCAATCAAATATTTACACTGAGCGGATATCGAACCCGAAACCTCTGACTTTGCAGAGAAATACACTGTCACCACGCCACGAAGCTACCTAGAGATAGTAAGTGCCCTTAACCCAGAAGTGACCTTGACATAGCAGGTGACCTTGAGTTAGTAAGTGACCTAGCCCTATGGTCATTTTGTGTTCTTTTT